CCCACGGCCCGCCCCCCCAGGCCACGCCAGCTCTGGGGCCAGCCCTCTGAAAGTCAACGGGGGATTTCATCCGGGTGACCAGTACCTCAAAGGCGTTTTGTGCGCCAAAAAAGCGGCAAGCCTACAGCCCTATTGAAGGGTGTTGCTTGGGCGCTGCGAAACAGGCGGAAAGCCTATCCAAGGCACTGTCTCTGAGAGCCTTGTCAGCGCCTCCCGCAGCAGCGGGCCTCTGAGGCCTGCGTGGGTTGAAGATTTGAGCAGCATCTCGGCCGATGCAATCGGAAGGGAAGCGTTCAACTGCTAACCGCTTGGAAACTGAGAGAAACTCGAATTGAGAACAGGGTCAAATACTTCTATGCAAAATCCTCTCTAAGAGGCGATCCCCTGATGAATGACTGGGTGTTTTCAATCAGGGGTCGACAAAGCATCCCAGGAGACAGCCGTATTGTTTCTCCGATGGTCGCCCATGGATTGAAGTTCATGGATCCTCGGCAGAGGGACCACGCCCCAACGCTCCCGGAGGCTCCTCGGCGGGAAAGAGGCGCCAAAGGGAACGACGGTGGCAGCTCGCCGGCGCAGAGCCCGTCGCGCGCGCCGCGCGCGTCGCAGGCCTCATCCTGAGGCGGAGGCTTCCGACTTCATGGGGGCTGGGGAAAAAGGGAGGGGAGGGGGAGGGAGCCCCAAAAAAAACGTATTAAAGCCTTATTAAGGCCTTGTTTAAGGCCTCCCTGCCCCGAGAACATCCATTGATTTGGCCAATTTCGAGCATCCTTCTTGAACGCGCCACCGAATCGATTGAATCCCCCACCCCCGCCGGGCCTGCTTTCCATCCTGCTTTGCAGAGTCCTGTGAAGGCGTTGTGCGAACTCTGCCCGAGGAAAATATATGCTTTTGTTTTTTCTCTCTCTCCTGTCATGCTGGGAAAGATGTTGCGAGGCTTGGACCACATTGCAAGCATGGAAGGACGCACCAGGGAGTATGAGTATGGGCAGTGTGATTCTCCCCCACTTGGAGAAAGGCCAAAAGCAAGGCTTCAGCGAAATTGATTTGTGGCGGCTCCAATTTCAGTCAGCCCCCACCGCTTGCGGCGGACAAGCCACGATGTTGGCCATGGCCAAGTTTTGGTCAGCGGAGCTTCGAAGTTGTCTCAAGGGCTTTACAGTCTCAAGGGACTCCGTGCTCTGTCTTTCTTGGTCGGAAAAAGGGAGATTCATGACCCAAATCCTCAAAATCGCAAGGGGCAGCATCTGCAAATCCTACCAGAAAAACATCAGAAGGGACGCCAAATGACAATTTGTCCATCCGGCTCTGACCCGCAAATACGTCTTTCGACTACTCACGTCTGCAGCCAGTCCTGGCGACCGCGGCCAGAGGCCGAGGCCTGCAGTAGCAGCACGCCCTGGGACGCCTTCTGCTGTGCGAAGCGGAAGAGATTCAGGAGCCCTGCGGAGAGAATCCGAGAGGAAGCTCAGATGAGTCCAAATCAAAACCCTCTACCCAGAACCGTGTAAAAAAATAAGAAGGCGGCCGCAGCTATTTATAGTTGGGATTGTCCCCTACTAACCTTCATCTACCCGAGTATTGATTGTGGCTCAGATGAATCAGCTTCCCTCTGCCAGGGCTTCAAATCCCAAAACCACCAGTCCAAATTATTGATTAGGGGTTCCCTGAAAACTCAGATGAATGTTTTGCCCAGGTCATTTCAAAATGCGACAACCGTGGGGGAAAAAACAGTTTCTGGCCACGAGTCATGATTTATTCAGCAGAAGCACCCAAAACAAGGAAAATTGGGTTTGGCCATCCGCGAGGAATCCGGTAGGAATCGATGTGGGTTCCGAAACGGCTTCGTTTCGAACCCGACGCCACAGGTTTGACCCTTCCATCGCTGCATCGCTTCTTCCCACCAGAAAGGCTGGAAGGTCACCCGAACAGAAACAGTAAAACCAAAACACCACATGCAAAGATCCAAATCCACGCCGCTGCACTGATGAAGAGCCCATCAATCCACCCTGCCCGCCCAAATCAGCAGTAAGCAACCAGCAGAAAAAGCAACGCTCCAAACCCTCACAGAAAACTAGCAAAGCTTACCATTCTTGTACCCACCCCTCAAAAACGGGTCTTTTCTGAGGGTCCCCTTGGGATTGTTTCGAAGGGGAGCCAAAAAGGGCTCCCTTGTCTAATGACACAAGCTCAACCGGAGCGCGAAAGCTGATAGCTTGCAAGACAACCATGTTATATTCTTGTTTCTGAGAAGGCCTCTGGCTGGTGAACTCCGTTATTATTCCCTCACCCTAACGACTCTCCGCGCCAGCGTTCGGATTCTCTTCAAAACCGGGTCGCCTAGCAGCTGCCGCCGCAGGCTGCGGCACCGCAGGTGCCGCAACAGCAGGAAGGAGCGGGTCAAATGCAGCGGCACCTCCTCCAAGCCTTGCGGACGTTAGCCGGTGGCTGATTTGGGGTTTCCAGTGGCTTAGTTCTAGTGGGTTGGTTCGAAAGATGCCAACTTTTGGACACAATCAAAACCCGGTATTGAAATGGTCGTAATCCAGAACCGTGTAAAGAACTTCCAAGGCGGATATCCGCAGCTATTTCTGGTTGGGATCATCCCTTACTAACCTTCATCTAACCGGGTTTTGATTGTGAGTCACTTTTCGACACAATCACCTTTCGCGAGCCGGGGCCTTTTTGCTTCTCACCTCTACAGGTATGGCATTACTTTGTCCCAGGTTCATAAGGGCTAGTTATTCAGTCTGGTTCGATTTTGGTAGAAGCCGCGAGCAAAGGCGAATTTAGCATAAATGGGGGCCTTTATTTTTGGCGGTTCCAATGCCTGTTTCGAGCAAAAAGTTGTTCAGTCCAAAGATCCGTTCCCAAATGGCCATAAAGCTGACATCATCTCATCATCGGGAACCCTGAACTGGCGCTAGTAGCATGGGCAGGGCCAGGAAAGGCAACCCCTGGCTCATAAGGGATTAAAATGTCAAATTGAGTACAAACAGGGCAAGCGCCAGAAAAGGCAACCCCATCCTTCCCGACACTTCATACCGAGTCCAACCCGGACGTCCCACGGGGCCTTCGGGCTCCTGATCCGCCTGGCATTATGCAACAAGCGGGCGGTTTTGGGCAGCCCCCGTTCCAAAAAATGAACAGAACATACAGAACCAAAAAAAACAAAAACAACGACAAGCACTTGCCGAGAAACTTGAAGGGCGGTTTTTATGTACGCATTGATAAAAACCATCAGTTGGAGATCTGGTGCTACGTAAGGTGCCTGGAACAGGAAGCACCGCTCCACAAGCAAAACCCCCCCCACTCTCAGTGGCTGTCACGCTTGGCCCCCCCTCCTCCGCAGCGGCGATCCTGGCCCGCAGACGGACACCCAAACGGCACGTGGACGTGGAAAGTCACATCCGTGCCAGCATTCCTTCGCAGACCAGCCCGGCGCCGCCCAACAGAACGGGCATTGCAACTGCCCATTGGCCGCAAAATGCAAAACGGGGCAGCTCATGCAACGCGTTGTCACTTCTGGGAAAGGCGCCAGGCGTGCTTGAAAGCGTATAATGATGCGGCTGTTCGACAAAGTTGATGAATCTAGAACTCTTGGCCCATTTGGCAGCAGGCAACACGTTGATACGGAGGCAACCCTTCTCCCGGCCTCGCAGCATCTGGCAGGGGCACTGCAGCCCGCCTCGGCGCCGTTGACCAAACATGGCCAACGAGGAAGGAAACCAAAACAAAACAAAAAACACCAGCGCAATCCACCCCCCTCGATTCTCCGAACCTTCCAAGAAACATGGCAAAACAGGGAAAACAAGCACCAAGTCGGCAAAACTCCACCGCACGGCTCGCACCTGCAACGAACACCAAGTCGAAAAATCCGCCACTCGAGGCGCCGAACATGTTTCACGAAAAATGACACATGTTCGCTGAAATCCGTTTAACCCACACCAAAAAAAAGAAAAAAGACCCGCTAGAAACCGGTCGAAAGCTTCCGCGTCGGCTCATCCGAACGCGCCTGGAGGCCAGCTCTGAGATCCGCTCCTCCGCCTGCCTGGAACATCCGCGCAGGCAGCGCGGATTTTCGACAACGGGGCGAGAGAAAGGTTAAGAGAAAGTAGGGAAAGTAGTGGTAGGTTAGGTTTGGTGGTAGGTTAGGTTTGGTGGTAGGTTAGGTTTGGTGGTAGGTTAGGTTTGGTGGCAGGTTAGGTTTGGTGGTAGGTTAGGTTTGGCGGCGGGTTAGGTTTGGTGGTAGGTTAGGTTTGGTGGTAGGTTAGGTTTGGTGGTAGGTTAGGTTTGGTGGTAGGTTAGGTTTGGTGGTAGGTTCGGTTTGGTGGTAGGTTAGGTTTGGTGGTAGGTTAGGTTTGGCGGCGGGTTAGGTTTGGTGGTAGGTTAGGTTTGGTGGTAGGTTAGGTTTGGTGGTAGGTTAGGTTTGGTGGTAGGTTAGGTTTGGTGGTAGGTTAGGTTTGGTGGTAGGTTAGGTTTGGCGGCGGGTTAGGTTTGGTGGTAGGTTAGGTTTGGTGGTAGGTCAGGTTTGGTGGTAGGTTAGGTTTGGCGGCGGGCTAGGTTTGGTGATAGGTTAGGATTATTATAAGTCATTAATCTGGAGATGTGCCCCCCCCCCAGCTGTTTTTCTGTGCCCCATCTATCTGGACTTGGCCTTTACAGCTGCGAAAGGAACATGGTCAACCAGTTGTCATCCCATTGACGGTGTCTATGCTTCTAGGAGGGTCCTGCCCCAGCCTCATGGAACCTGACCACGTTTTTCCTTTGAATGGGAACCTCTGGTGCTCTGGTGGGTTCTACAACAACCACAACAACAGGAGAGTTTTTGCTTTACTGCGCAAAGGTGTGAGAGCCTTCGAAACCTAATCATGTGAATCTCCGAACGGGGCCACAAGTGCGGAGGCTTAAGTCATTCAGCCAGTCTTCGCTTGCTTTACCAGAGCAAGCTCAAAAATACACCCAGGCCCGAAGAAGGACAGGGTCTCTCTCTCTCTCTCTCTCTGTGGATTCTTTTTCTCACCCCTCCCCGCCGCCTCCCACCCCCTCCCCATTTTTGCTCCGCGGTGGGAAGCTACTGAACCCCCCCCCGTAAGAGGGAAGAGTATGTATAATGTGCCGGGGAGAGGCCTGGGCATCAACATCACACTGAGAGCTGGCTTTCAGGCAGATCTTGTATAGGAATTGATTTCATAAAATTGCAAATCTTAGTTTGAGAAATTGGCTTCCAGGGGAATTTGGTAGGAATGAAATTGCAGATATTACAAAATATTTTGTAAGGTAAAGAAAATATTCTCCAAAATAACAAATTTTACAAATTCTAGTCTGAGAAATTAGCTTCCAGTGGAATTTGGTAGGAATTAAATTACAAATTTTACAAATTTTACAAATTTTACAAATTAATTTGTAAAAGTTGTAAAATTTGTAAAATTTGTAATTTAATTCCTACCAAATTCCCCTGGAAGCTAATTTCTCAGACTAGAATTTGTAAAATTTGTAAAATTTGTAATTTTGGGCCAGATTTTTTTGATATTTTACAAATTTTACAAATTAATTTGTAAAAATTGTAAAATTCGTAATTTTGGGCCAGATTTTTTTGATATTTTACAAATTTTACAAATTATTTTGTAAACTTTGTAAAATTTGTAAAATTTGTAATTTAATTCCTACCAAATTCCCCTGGAAGCTAATTTCTCAGATTAGAATTTGTAAAATTTGTAAAATTTGTAATTTTGGGCCAGATTTTTTTGATATTTTACAAATTTTTCAAATTAATTTGTAAAATTTGTAAGATTTGTAATTTTGGGCCAGATTTTTTTGATATAAAATTTGTAAAATTTGTAAAATTTGTAAAATTTGTAATTTAATTCCTACCAAATTCCCCTGGAAGCTAATTTCTCAGACTAGAATTTGTAAAATTTGTAAAATTTGTAATTTTGGGCCAGATTTTTTTGATATTTTACAAATTTTACAAATTAATTTGTAAAATTTGTAAAATTTGTAAAATTTGTAAAATTTGTAATTTCATTCCTTCCAAATTCCCCTGGAAGCTAATTTCTCAGACTAGAATTTGTAAAATTTGTATTTTTGGGCCAGATTTTTTGATATTTTACAAATTAATTTGTAAAATTTGTAAAATTTGTAATTTTGGGCCAGATTTTTTTGATATTTTACAAATTTTACAAATTAATTTGTAAAATTTGTAAAATTTGTAAAATTTGTAATTTAATTCCTACCAAATTCCCCTGGAAGCTAATTTCTCAGACTAGAATTTGTAAAATTTGTATTTTTGGGCCAGATTTTTTGATATTTTGCAAATTTTACTTTGATATTTTACAATTTTTTCCAATTTCATTTGTAAAATCTGGAAATTTCTCTTTTTACACATGTACTTGCGAAATTTGTGAAATGCTTAATTGTTAACCATATTTGTTGGAATTTGGCATAGTTCAGAAACTAATCTGCAAAATGTGTATAACTTGTAATGTAACTCCAGCCAAATCTCCCCGGAAAGCAAATTCCCCAGAGTACGTTTCAATGTCAGCAAACATCCGATTTAGAATTACAAGCTGGATTTGAACAAACATTGCTCGGGGGTTGCAAATTGCACAAGCTAGTTTGTAAAAAGTCGGTCCAGAATTACACAAATTACAAGTAAAGGTGTGAACATTGTAAACTTGATAAAACTTGATCACCGTCCTTCCCTTAACGGCTTTTTTTGGGTCAAGCTTGTTTCATTTGGTTGAAGTTTGGTAAGCAAATGGGGAGGAAAGCATATTATCTTTTCATTTGGAATCTCTCTTTTCTGTTATTTCCATGTGTTTGTTTTTCTTTAGGATCTCGAATTCATACTCCTTTCTTTATCTTTCACTCTCTCCCCTGACCATTTCTTCCTACAATCAACTCAATAAACTAGGATGGAAAAGACAGGGATAAAGAAATAAACATAAGATAGGTAAAGGAGAGAGGACATCTTCTGTAACACGCTTCTTTTGGATAACTTTCATACCACACATACCTGATGGAGAAAGAGATGGAGAAAACCGTGCAAATAGAAAGACATGGAAAGGCTACTGGGATTGTGGGATGGATTCATTTGTATCTCAGAGATTTTATCGCATACCAGGTTAGACCAATCGATGAAGGTAAGGGAAAGGGAAAGGTGTGAAAGAACAAAGAATGATGAAGAACATCTTCCGCCCAGACATCACGCAGAATACGCCAGATAGCCTGTCCGTGAGACTTGGAGGATATGATGATTGCAGATTCCCTCACTATCCCTTTCCAGCCTGTCTTTGGGGCCTCTTCCAAATCATTGCCTGTTTCCTCTTGTCCATCCATCCTCATCTTTTATTTGCATTTATGGATGGGCAAGAAGCGACGAAAGCATTTGCAGGCAGTAATAATTACGGTAGAAAACGTAATATCCTCCCTTTCTTTTCAAAATCCTGTTTTATACAAGCTAACAACATAAAAAGGGCGCGAGACAGTTATGACAAAGCTAAAGATAATTATGGGTGGTGCTTACAGAAGCTATCTAATTTATTACGTGCTAATACATGCTTCTAATCTTAAAACCATACTTACATTCCTCGTTCTTTTCTATTTTATTCTTCCCTTGTTGAGATTCATTACGCTATCTTTCTTTGTGAATGCTTTTGGCTGTCCGGTCGTCGCTGGGGCTCACCGAAAAAAAAGAGATTATGAGTAGGTCTTACTCATATTATTTTGCTTGTGTTTTACTATCTTTTGGACCTTTCATCCTTCCCCTTCTTCTGTTTCCCTTTTCAACCGTTGAAGAATGCCAGAAACCGAGGGGTGAAGGAAGGAGGGAGAAGCTAGCCCCCCCGTTCCTTCTTCTCCAACTGTATCGCTAGTGGGGAGAAGATAGGAAGGAGATCAACCGTTCCATCTTTACCTTTCCCTTCCCCACTACGTTCTGGAGTTCTGTCACTACGAAAGACTCACGATGGAACAGTCTAAAAGTGGGACGAAGGAAGGGGATATTGGCTTTATTTTTGGTTTATTTGTAGAAAAATAAAGCCACTTTCCACAACCCGCTTCTTTCTGTAAAAACACAGATGGAAGAAGATGACCTTTCCTTTCCCGGCCCAGCCAATGCTTGTCATTTTCCTTGCCTTGTCTTTTACATTGCCATGTTTTGGAAATGAAGAAGTAAAGCGTCTGGCAAGGAGGTAAGCGCCCATCAATACTAATTGAAGATAACGAATTGGATGGGCACTTCCCATGTCTTTCTATCACTTCTTTCTTTCCTTTTGATGAGATTGAAGATTGAAAATGGGAAGTGAGAGGCCTCTCTTGACTTCTTCCTCAAGCATAGGCTGCTGTTAATCTTATGCCGTGTGATGCTTGGGAAGAAGAAGAAGAGAAGATAGGAGAGGGTGAGCAGAAGTAACGTGATTCTTTCTTTTCCTCCGATCGCATCCTGATTTTCCCATGTGTGTCACCGACGTCCTTTCCTTGTCCAAGTCACGGAGGAAGAGAGGTTGGTTTGTGGTCCCAAGAGCTTGTATCCTTCCCTTTCTATCTCTTCCACTTCATCCAGGAAACATTTGTGGATGGACATGTCGTTATTAAGATCATTGCCTTTCGGTTTACCATCCCATTTATTGCTTGAATGTCTATCTTTGTTGTCTTCCATTTACAGTATTATCTGAGAAGTATAGAAATGCTTCTGGGTGTGAGGTTGAAAAAATTGGCGATGTAAAGAAAATCACGATGGTTGGAAGAGAAAGTTAATCATTACCAAGAATAGGTTCATAGTCTCTCATCTGCTGGTTGCATTCTCATGTACTTGTTCACTTTGCAACCTTTCTACTTGTTTATCTATCTTCCCAATCTCTCTTTCTCTCTCTCGCATTGTAAACGTTGGAGGCATCTGGATGGGGGAAAAAACCCGGGGGGTAATAACAAATATGAAGAAGAGGAACTGGCTAACACTCCTTCTGCTCTCCCGTCTTTCGCGGCTATCAGGATTAGTAAGAATTACGAAAAAGGCCTATGAAGAAACATAATAGATACATAAATAAATAAATCAATAGGCAAATGACAGAACCAAGAACATGAAAGTAATAAAGAATGTTAATAAATGAAACTGTTTATTGGGAGACACATTATTCTTGTCCATCAAGAACCCTCTCCAACACAGTGAAAAACCTAGAGTGGACAATGATGGATATGATAGAAAACGCAATAAGATAATAAAACGCAGTAAGCTATGAGATTACAACGATTCTGTAATTATTGCCTTTAAATTCACCCCGTGACCACTTCATCCCATTTACACAAATATATTGGAGAAGATATTAGTGCATGATGAAGAATAAACACAAATTATAACCATAGATAGTTTGCTTGACTCTGAAGAGGCTGTTGGTCTTTACTCATGGAGTTTATTTAGTTGTTTCTGCTTTTGTTCTATTAGAATTTCCTTGCAAAATCTCTCACTCACTTCCTATTGTATCATTAGATATGTGCAATATTCTTGAGTTTTAGGTGAGAATGAAAAGGATATTAATAGTTCAAAGTTGCTGGAGAAGGACGGAACACTATTTACGAAAGGCTATTTATTTACTAGAATCTCATGAGTAATGTTAACTAATTTGTATCGATTGGGGTGTATTTCTCACCTTCTCTTTTTAAGGGGTTTCCTTTTGCATCCCAAGCTAATACTTGTCAAATCCTACTGAATCAATCTTCATTAATAAAATCATGTTCATCGCTAGAAGTGACCGAAGGAAGTTAATAGTTTTCTCATCAGAATATTGCCTGTCCAAATAGAGTGATGAATGAAGAGACGCTTAACTGTTATTATTGCTTAAGTGACGTCTCACGGACAGGCTACGTCTCCAGACCCTTTTTTATATCTCTCTGATTGTTCTTTCCTTTTATGTTTATTTGACCAGCATTTGTTTACTATTTACTTCTTCCTCACTGACATTCGATCTTCTCTAACTCTGTTATCTGTTACTGTGGCTTTAATCATTTGATTAACATTTTCCTCTTTCCATTTCCATGCTCTATCTTGGTGAGCCAGCAAACGTTTAATTTAGAAAAAATATGGAAGTGATAGATAGGAGGACATCATTATTTGTTTCTATTAATACTACTTCACGAAGGTATACCGTGTGCTTTTATCACACTCTCTCACAACCAAAGAGAGGATGTTCATCTGGTCTTCATCACCCCTCACCCTTTTTTCTATTACTACAAACTAGCTGGTTCTTTCAGGGTGGGGCATGCCAAGACATTCCTTTCTACTCTTGGGATTGCACCAAAAGAGTCCATGTGCAACAATGAGCCGTTCTGCTCTTGAAGGCGCGCGGCGGCACATTGTACGTAATCTTCCCTGCCACACCCCCTCCCCCCGCCGCCTGACATCCGCACCCAGGAAGTCCAGCTCCCGGCGTAGGGCAGCTCCTGGCGACGCATCTTTTCTTGAGGGTACACCCTCCCCACTTTTAAGTTGACAGGAACACTTTAAGGCAAACCAAGTTTCTGTTTTTTGTTTTTCTTTATGTTCTTTCTCTTTTTCTTTTTTTCCTTCTTTCTTTTTTTTTTTTGGGGGGGGGGGAAACAAGAAAAGGCCCCTAAAAAAGACACGCCCATATCCCGCGTTTGTTTCGGGCAGCAGCTTGTGAAGGTGGTGAACAAACAGCGCCTTGCATGGACGTGGGAGCCCCCTCCATGTTATTCCAGTCGGGCCAAATCGGGTTCTGATTCGCGGGGGTGGGGGTTGCGGGTGGAGGGTCCGGGTCTTTCATGCGCCATTGCGGCTTGCAAAGCCTCTGCGCCCACTGAGGCTTCGCCCTCCAGCTTCCACCAAACCCCCCCCCCACCCCCAATCCATCCGTTGAGAGACCCAGGAAAAGCACAACACAAAGCTGGGCCGAACCCTCCGCTCCTGCTTCCGTCATTGGCCCCTGGCGCAATGGGCGAGCGATACATGGCTGATTTGGAGCTCCAGGCGTATTTCTCGGACCCTACAAGGGAATGGAAGCAGCCCATGAGGGCTTAGCAAGGCCCTCGCATTCTGATTGGTTTGGTCAAAATCTTCGCGGGGCCTTCCAAGAACTCGCCGAACTCGAGACACGCCTTGCCCCCGTGGTACTCGAAACGGACCACCTCCCATCCCAGAGGAGAGCAACAGAGTCATCCAATCTGGCCTCCGCCGCGCCCATCACCGCCTCGGCGCGGCGGAGGCCGGGTATTTTTTTCTCGGCCACTGCGCAGGTCCGATGTGCTTCGCTGCCTTCTTTCTCCCCCCCCACTCTCCCCCAAACACCTGCCCGCAAGCCGATGTGGCTCCCGGTCTCACCTCGTGGCAAGGAAAAAGCCAACTCGGTGAGCTTTCCCCAGATGCCCCCTCCAAAACGGAGTTGTCCGCCCCTTCAAACGCCTTCAGATCGCTGGAGTCCCTTCAAAAAAGTTGCAAAAGCGGCTGATTTTGACCTTGAAACCAAGAAAGCTGACATTTAAAACACAAATGTTAATTATTCATTAAAGAAAACAAAAAAAACAAAAAACAGCGTCCCTCCCTGCTTGCTCGAAGCTGCGCGCTGCTCCTGCATCAGCAGCGACACCTTGGGCTGCAGCGGCACGCAGTCCAGCCACCGGTCCTCTAAGAGATGCACCTGCCGGCGGTCAGCCTTTCACTTCTTCCAAGGAAACTGCACCCATGTTGGCATTGAAAGGAAACCACCCTCTTGATGTGTGTTATTACTGTTTGTTTGTTGTTCTTGTGTTCCTTTCTTCTTCTTCTTCTTCTTCTTCTTCTTCTTCTTCTTCTTCTTCTTCTTCTTCTTCTTCTTCTTCTTCTTCCTCTTCCTCTTCCTCTTCCTCTTCCTCTTCCTCTTCCTCTTTCTCTTCTTCTTCTGCTTCTTCTTTTTCTTCTTCTTCTTCTTCTTCTTCTTGTTTCTTGTTGGGGGGGGGGGCACTACTCCGGGTGCACAATCTTATGCAGTCTCGCAACAAACTCGCAAGCCATCGTTGACTCATCCCCCCAGCGGATGGCTAAACAATCCCCGCTGACTTGGTCAGCTCGTGCAGCATGATGTTGGGTTTGCCTAGCCGTACCTTCCACAAACCTGGTCAAGGATCCTTTGCTTCAGAATACTGTCCAGAACCCTTTTGGTGGCTTGGGGAAAATGCAGGAAACCAACCTGTCGTTTGAACAGAAAGAAGCCTATTTGAGGCACGTCCATGTGTGGATCTTTTGCTTTCCCTTCAAGGGATCCCTAGGCTTATTTGCAAAACTCTACGGCTTGATCCCCCATTCTTAAACCGCCCATTTCTCCCGGGAGTGCCAAAGGGTCCGAAATATTGGACCAAAAGGGCTTGCCCTTTGCATAACCGGCCCAAGCGAGGCATTGCGAGCTTTCGGCAAGGATGCGAGGGAACAAGACCGCAGGCCCACGGGCATGTGATTCGTCCCAATGCCCTACAGTCAAAGAGCACATTCCCTGGAGTATGTGCCCCAAAGTTGAGGAAAGACTGGCAAGGGGAGCAGGAAAAAACAACCCAAGTCAACTCAAAAAGCGCAGCAACTACCCTACTGTGGGGCCACAAAATCCTGCACCACTTTGAAGCCATGGTTCAAACCATGGCTGAAAGCATTGTTTGTTGGTATTTACGCTGGGGAGTCATATCATTCTGCTGGGCTTCCGAACCGTGAAAAACCTGACATGGACTTCGCAACCAAAACTGCTGAGCGAGAGACGAGACGTACCGCAAGCAATGGCAGCCCCACCCTGGACTTGCAGCAAGAAATCCCCCGTCCTTGCTGGTCTCACAGGCAGGGGATGAGTTGGAATGGAATGAGTTGAAATGACCCCAAGAAAAGCCATCCCCTATGGTTAGGTTTCCTTTCAGAGAACATTCCCAAACCCGGAATGTCATTCCCTACTGAGCACCAGCAAGTTTCGGCAAACTCAGGCCATCGCACCTCTGGCGAAGTGGGCAATCCTGGAGACTCGGACGAGAGGCGCCAGTTTCCGGCACAGTTTCGGTGCTGATTTGTTTTTGCAACTGATTGCCTCAGCCGTGGGAAATAACCACTTCTGTGATACAACCGAAGGGGCTTCCTAAAGACTAACCATCCCCCCCTCCTTTATATGCGGGAAACCCCCGGTTTAGCCTTGTCTAACCGAAGCGGTTGGAGAAACCCCGCGAGTGATCCCCTCGCGCCGCTCCCAGCTTCAGTTTGATGAAGCTGGACTCCCCAAGCCCTCGATGGGCGCCGGGGCTCTGAGAAACGCGAGCCGAAACCCGGGTCCTTTTGCTGAGGCAATACACGTCCCCGCCCCAAGGAAGGGTGATAAAACTGCCCGGAAACTGAGAGAAGCATCAAGCAAACATGTGCCTTCATGGGCAATGAGTGAGATTTCCATTGCATTTGGATCCAGGGCAAAATCGGCATTCATTTCTGGGCTGCAATATTTGCCTCCGATTGTCCGGGTACTGCCGAACGATCCGAAATTCCCTTGAAGCATTGCCATTTTGGCAGTCCCCCGTGGCCTCTGAGGTTGACCCCATGTTAGTCAACCCCTGCTAATTAATATGGGGGTGTGGCTGGTTTGAGTGGAGAACACCCCCTATTAATAAACTGGGGCTTGTTACTACAGGATCAACATTAACAGCCACACCACCCTTGGGTACAGGGACCCGTTGACACTGTCAGAGTCCTGGCTGCTCTTCGCGCACCAGTCGGGGATATGCTGCGAAGCGCATTGCCTGCATGCCCATGGCCCGGGTGCTTGGCTTCCAAGGAACAAGTGAAGTACATGAGTCATGATCAAAACCGGGTACAAAAATGGTGAACCCAGAACTAGTAGGAATTGAAAAGGCGGCCGCAACCATTTATGGCTGGGTTTGCCCCGTACTAACCTTCATTTACCCAAGTTTTGATTGTGACTCACATGTAAAAAACATGAAGTCCGAACCAATACGCATCACCAGTCCGGGGACCTCCAGTTATCGCAATTCAGCGAGCCACCCAACATGCTTGCGGTTCAAGAACACTGCGCTTAAGTGCCCGTCTCGCCTCATCTTGCTGCGCCCAGATCTCCGGAAACCTCGGGAAAAGGGCAGGGCACTTAGTAAGTGGGTAGTAAGCCTGGCCACTGCACAAAGACTTAGAACTATGGCTTTTGCGGGTTCAAGCCATGGCTACTGAGCACTTAAGTCTTCGATCGCCCCGAGAAGTCTCCAAAAGATCCCCGAAGCGAAGTCGGGCAGCTGCTTGGCCACCTTGGAGGCCAGGCAGTGGCCTCCGGGCACGGGAAGTGCGGGCCATCTTTGAGGAGCTTGGCGTTGGAAGGAGAGCAAAAATTGAAAGATCTTCGCGGTGGTTGGACGTTACCCACGAAACCGCAAGAAGCCAAAATATAAAGAAAAAATGTTGCCCAACAACAACCATGAGGGGGAGAAGGGGGTCACTTGAGGTGTGTAGGGGGGGGAGGGAGGGATCCGGAGGCAACACCCAGAATCAAATCGGATCAGACCCCACGGTCCCCACGCTCCCCCCCCCACCCCAACAAGGGCACGCCTTTGGCGGCTGCGGGTCCCTCGGCCGAACTCGTCCGCGCCTGAGTCTGTCTGCAGCAGCGCCTGCACCCCTGCAAGCTGCGCCAGCCCCAGCAACGCGGCGTCGAACTGCGGGGACCTCATAGAGCCAAGTGGGCCGAGGGGCCAAGGCTGGGCAGTGGACGAATGCGGTCCCTTGCCCTCGCCATTGTTCCAACGTGGACTGCTCTTGAAGGAACAAGCCAACATGCTATAAAGTAGCCGCACGTGTTCGTCCGAGCGATGGCTGGATGCCCCAAACTCGATTTAACAAAAAGCAGGCCGGTTAAACAACAATGGTTTGAACATGTTGCCCCGCGGCAACACCAAAATCGGAAAATACGGCGATTTAGGGTCCGGGAAAATTGATCTTTTTCGGAGGGTGCTGTGACCGATTCGGAAGCATGTCTCTCTTCAATCTGCACTCATGCAAATGACAACGTTTTCCGATCTTAAAGCGCTACTTACACGCATTCTGCCTCTCCTTTCTCCTTGACACGCGCCTCGGCACCCATATCAGCGGCAGCGGCGCATGCCCTTGGTGAAAGCTCGTCTCCGTGTGAGTGACGTGCACCAAAGGGACCCGGTTGACCCTGTACAGGACAACCTGCTTAGACAAATAGTTGGCGACCATGCTGGAGAACGGTCCGGAAAATCGACTTTGCATTGCAGAAGCGCTTTGGACTTCAAATGTGAACATACCCCACACACACACACACAAACTTTGGAGAGGGATCTCCAAAATCACTTTGGGGGGGGGTTGTTTAAGGGAAGGGAAACATGGGTTTAGGGCCACAGGGTTACCCTATGTTTGACCCACACCCAGCTTTGAGGAACGGCCCCAGAGGTACGACCCCAGAGGCCTTTGCGCCCAAGCCACCGTCGCCCTGCTTCCGCTCGCTGGCCTGCAGTGTGCGCAAGAGCTCTTGCCGATGCGTCACCTCAGCTTCAATGGTCAACCCTGAACCAAGGGAATCAGACACTTGCTTGGGTGGGCTGCGTATATACACTTGTCTTTATAAATAGGCATTTGTGCTTCTACATCCACACACACACACATACATATTTGTTCATATATCTTTGCAGATCTATATATATATATGTATACAATTGCTTTGGGGGGCCCCCATGCTCTTCGCTGTCAAAAAGCCCGAACCTAGGATTCAATTACCTCCATCGATTTTAGAAAAGGCCAGACACTGGGGTCATTCCTTTGCTTCTGTTTCTGGGGCTACTGGGTGGTTCGCCTTTAACTTACCACTCAGGGAGGCACTTTAATAGTGGTGAAATACTGGGGCCAGAAACGCCGAAGTTGTTAATTACCAAACGCTGACCCAGTCAAGCCGTGCCAGCGCCCTACTTGTGAGCCTTTCAGGAGCTGGTTTCTGGGAGGCGCTCTTCGATGTCGGTCAAAACTGCTTTCACACAAGGCAGCACATCGATAGCAGCGCCAGTATGCAGCTCAGCACTTCATCCATCACGAAAAAGTCCAATTCGGTCAGGATACTGCGAGATGCTGAGCTTGAAGCAGAAATCGCCGGAGCATGCGTGTCGTGCGGTCCTGCCACACCTAGGCATCCAGGAGTCTCTCAGTCTCTCAGTCGCCAAAAATCTAAACACCTCCTGTCTCCGGTTCATTTGCATTCTGTGGCGCCTTTGTTGCAAATTCACGAAGGCCCTCCAGCACTACGCCCCCCAAAAAAAAAGTGACAGGGAAGGCTATCGCGGAGTTTCCTCGCAAATCCAACTGGCCGTGGTCGTCAAAAACCGGGTAACCCGCAACCCCAAAATGGAACTCGCAACCCGGAGAACCCGAGACACAGACCAAACCCTGTCCGCTCGGACTTCTTTTTGGACGCCGTGCCAAGAAAGAGGCCAGGCCGCCAGCTCCCGCAAACAAACCACCACATCACTGCGGAAGAGGCTGGAGGCCGTCTCCCGGTAGACCTGGACGGACCGCACAAAAGTCTTCCGGAGGGGGGGGGGGTCGGTCAAGAATGAAAAGGAAAGCGGTATGCATGGGCCTGTCTTTTTGTAGTCCTCTTTTTGGGCGGGTTTCAAAGGGAAAGCAAGATGAAAACCACCAATACATATATATATATATATATATGTGTGTATGCTCTGTTTTTGTTGTTGTTGTTGTTCTTCCCTTTAGGTGGGGGAGGGGGCTTTTGGGTTTGGTGCGGCACCCCCCCAAAAAAAAAAAGAGACACCCCCATCTTGGGAAACCGCGAGACAAACTGAGGGCTGGTTGGGGGGACCGCATGTTCTCGGCGCACCTCATTGAAGTCAAAGAGCTTCGCGTTGGTGCAGGACTTTGGGATGGGCCGATCCTTCTCCTGGCTGAACTGAGGCGTGAAAAGACTGGGCCCGATGCCTGCAAAACTCGGGTGGGGGGGAGGGAGGTGGTCTGAAATTGGCTCTCTCCTAAAATGGTGTTCCCTTGCTTATCCAAAAGGGGTGGTCTCAAAAAATGATTCTCCGCCCAAATTGCACGGGATTCCATTCTGTTTTCCCTTAAATACAAAAAGGGGGTCGAGGCACCATGTTGAGCAACACTCGAAAAATTGCTTTCTTGGTGGGACGCGCGGAAAGCCCGGGCCCGTCCGACCTGCTGCGTTTGGACTTCAGGCTTCTTGATGCGAGCGCTTGGAGGGTTGCCTGAGATGTCGGGGGCTCAAGCGCGAAATGCGGCTTTCTCGAGGGGGAGCTTTTTTAGGTTGAGCGAAAGGGACACCACAAAGAAAACCCACGATTTGTTTGAGGCTCCACCTGGTGCCACCTATGCCCCCTTGGAGGCTCGTCAAACGACCCCCGCTTGAGTGGATTGAAATATCATCTTCGTGGTTTTGCCAAAAAAAGTCATCCCAGGTACCCTCCCACCAAGCAACATGGAACCTGACGTTCGGGAAATGGCCCTGTTGAAAGGAAAATGCTCTTCCAGGACCTCGCAAACGTCAGGTTCCGGCTGCAAATTGGTGGGGGCGTACATGGGATGACCATTGAATAGAAACCACTAAAAAAAAATAATATATTTAAATCGGAAACGTTAACCTTGGTCCAACACCTAACCACCCATGAGGGGGAATTCTAAATTCCAAACCGCCTTCTGGCCCCCTTCTGGCTGGTATTCAAAGCTTCCACGTTTTTGTTTTTTTTTGGTTGGCTGGGAGGCTTCATCGGACCTTTGGATCAAATCCGCCGACATTGTTCGGCGTGTCGGATACCTAAGAGAGGACTATTGGATACCTAAGAGAGGATAGAGGATAACCCCCCCCTTAGTCCCCCCCCGGGACACGTCAAATACGCATGGTTTTTCGGTCGCCACCCCCCCCCCCTCCCCCGCGTACCGCGCGGCAATTTGATGACGTTCCACTAAACGTAGTCTTCGGGGAGCGGGTCTGGAGAAACGGGGGTCCCAGGCTCGAATCCTCCCGCCGCCTCTTTCTGCCGGCTGAGGTTTTGTGCTGCCTTTTGCGGAAAACTTTGAGACACACGGTGTTCGGTGTTTTTCCTTTGCTGACACCATTGAAAAAAACATTGTGTTTGTGTTTTCCGATTTCCTTGACAATTGGCACCAATTTCCCCCCAATTTCCCCTAATTTCCCCCAATGCTTCCCCGCAAATTGCGCCTTGCTTTCTCACCAATTCCCTCCCACTTCCCTTTCAATTTCCATCCGACTTCCCCCCAATTTCCCCCCCCCAGTTTCCCCCAAATGTCCTGGCAAATTCCCCAACCCCAGCTTCCTTCCAAGTGTCGCCCCCAATGTCCTTCGTGTCGTTTTTTTGGCCATGCTAAGCCACGCTTCTCGCAAGCAAGAATGCCGTACAAGGGGCAACCTCAACACCCCTCAGAAATCAGCTTATCCGCGCACCCCGCCAAAATGACATGCAGTGGCCATGACATACCACCCAGCACTAAGGTGCCCTAAACGGCGAGCCTTCCTGTTCGCAATTGTACGCCCTGTTTGGTCGCCACCCTTTCCCAACATTTTACTTGGAGGCATGGTTCGGCGCCCTTTTTTGGAGCACCCTCTTGGTGGCACTCAACACTCCGCCGACATTGCTCGGCGTGTCGGGGAGGATGGGGGAACCAGAGAGGACAGAAGAGCATACTAGGGGGACACGGGCGAGAGGAAGAAGGAGACAAGCTAGATGCCAATGTCGGCGGACTGAGCCGGAGGCTCTAAAGTATCAAAATATCACAGCTACAAGCCAAAGTCAAAGTACTGTAGTCAAAGAATACCACATTTGGCATGGGAAGCAGCTGGAAGCATAGAAAAGAGGTGCGTTCAACTAGGACCCAATATTCCCCATCTCTACTCTTGGTATGGTAGCAAAAAACTTTGTTTTCTGCAAGACCCCCAGTAAAAATGAACAGAACCAAAAAACTAAAAGACAAAAGAAGCATGATCCAAGAACAGTGAAGCCCCCTCTTACCCCACCTCCCCCCCCATCCCTCCACTTCCGCGGATCCGCCTAAGCGCCGGATCCGCGCGTCCGCGGCCTCGATCTCCCGGCACAGAATTCGGAGCCGCTGCTGCAGCGCCGGCGCCGCGCTTCTCAGCGCCCCACAGCGCCTGGCGCGGCGGTTGCCATCGGAGAAGCGGAGTACCCTGCCGTTGGTAGAGGGTCACTTTGAAGACCATGAAGATGGGCTGGGAATGGGTGGGGTGATATCTCTTTCTCTTTCTCTCTCTCTCTCTCTTTCTCTTTCTCTTTCTCCTTCTCTCTCTCTTTCTCTTTCTCTTTCTCTTTCTCTTTCTCTCTCTCCCAACTGACCTGCAAAAGTGTGATTTTCAGGCCTTTGCTTGGAGGACCTCCAAAAGTTCTATTTGGCAGGCCTTGATTTCTTTTAGCTTCCCTTTTGAAGCAGAGCAAACGTGTGCGAGGGTGGATCGAAGATAGCAACGCTTGCCAGAACTGTCAGCGTTGTCTTTTCACCAGCCTGCTTTGGACAGGTCCCTCCCCACAAGACGTCGAAAGAACAAAGAAAGGATGGTTAAACGAGAATTGGATTGGCATGGAATAACATATGTTCGTATAAATTCGGAATATTATGATTTGATAACTCTTAGCGTGGATTTTGATTGCTTGATACGAATTAATATATATTTACATATGTGTTAAGGAATTAATATAATTTTATATCCTAAGCCAACGTAAAAGCAGTTGTCTGGGCAAGATGTAACGGTAGCAGGTCTCCAGCCCAAACAAACCAACGGAAAAGCATGCGTCTTGGCCAACGTGGAGCGGCCAGCCCGGACAAGACCGCTGCCCAGAAACCAGTCTTCTCCACACCAAGCGAGAACACATTCCCACACTAAACCCAACTTCTGACTAGCAAACGCTACCTTCCCCCCACACAAACAGAATCGAATGTTTGCTAAGACCTGACTTTGCCCAGCACAAACCAACACCCAACAAAAAGCAACCAATGCAAACTGCGCGAAGATTTGCAAAAAGAGGGGCCCATCACCTTCAGCAAAAATGGGCATGGCCGCGCCATGTCCAAGCTCGGCAACCTCCCAAAGAAGTCCCTGTCAAGGAGGGTCATGGTCTCAACTTCTGTGTTGTGGGTTTGGAGGACCTCCTCGCTTGAAGCGATTTCATTTGAAGAGAACCCCATGGCTAAAAACATGGCCGGCTATCACGGAGACTTGCCGTGCCTGACTCCTCTGCGCATGCGGCTGGCAATCAAGTCACACTGCAACCTGGCGCAGCCATCAGACACCAATTCCACACTCCCCAGACCTTTGCAACCCCTTCTGCCAAGGATTCCAGCGGTAAAGTGAGGGCAAACGCATGCAAGGTGCAAGGACGCACTGCCCGCTGAAACGGGGGCCAACATGAAATCTGCCACAACACCAAGCCTTCAAGACACACACAAATGGCTATGGCTCAAAAAACCGGTACCAAACTGGAACCCTGGTAAATGGAAACATGGACCAAAACCCGCGTAACCCCCCCTGTTTAATTTTGAGCCACACCCAAAAATCGACCACTGCGCAGCTGGCAACTGCTGAAACTCGTGGGCCAGGCAGCGTCAGCCGTGTGCGGCGCTGCTGGAAGTAGGCCAGGAGCTGCTGCTGGGTAGCCTATGGTTTTGGCGGAGCACGGGCTCGCCGGATGTTAACGTTGACCCCGGATCAATAAACCCCAGTCTATTTGTATAGAGGGGTGGGCTCGGGTATCAGACCACTTTTGGAGGCCCCCATGGGGTCACTTCTTCAATAAACCCCAGTCTGTTATTTGGGGGTGGGGTCCGGGGGTCAACTTTTCTCCCCCGCCTCTAGGCTATGACGCGGCTTTGTCGTGTCCAGCACCTCCTGCTTCGCCTCATCCGCTACCAGCATCACTGCCGGCCGCTCGGGAGGCAGCACCAGCCTAACTCCAAGCCAAATCGCAGGATCTGTTGTTTTTTTTTTTTGTCTCCGGTGTTTTTTCTCCCCCCCCCAAAAAAAAAAAAAAAAAAAAAGCAAAAAACATCAGCTGAGCTTTGCTCCGTGCTTTCAGCTCCCCAAGAAGGGTCAACCTTTTCGGGGATCTGGGAAATGCAAAAGCGTCGAGCGGTCGGAATGCGCGGGGCCAAAAATAACAAACCAATGCTCGATCAGCCAAGCGCCTTGAAAATGAGCCCCTCTCAACATTTCAACCTAGGATCATATGTTAACACGACTGAGGATCGAAGCATGGACTCTCCCAACCCTGCACCTGAACCCAGGCGCAGATGCGATATTTTAGGCACGAAGCGTGTCAGCCTACGGAGAACGGCGAATGGAGTCTCCGTGCCATGCCCAGACCTTGCATGACCGCCTGACAGTTTTAGCTTGGAGTCTAAGTATCTTTCAGGCCTCGTCATCCTCGCAACATGTAGGGTGAGAAATTACCAAAAAGCACAAACACCACATTGTCAAAAACACAATATCTAGCAAAGAAAACTGAAGAGAAACAAACGCAAATCATCAAGCCAAGACAAGCCCGAAAAGATGCAACCTTGGCAAGACTAAAGATGCTCAGTCTGAAAGCGGGGACATCGTGCTTAGGGCGGGCTGAAAATTGGCAATACGAAAGGAGACCCCGGAAAAAACGAGCTCATGCTTAGCCAACAAAAAAACGGCCAGCGGCTCTCCTGCCCCCACTTCAATCTCATCCCCTGCCCATTTTCGCCGCAGCTGGGCGGCTTTTGGATGATGTCCACCAGGTGGCTGCGGTCCGGGAAGCTGCCGGGGTCAAAGCAGGCATCCCAGCCCTCCTTCTCCGGTCCTCAGCCGCGTCCGGAAAACGTGCAGCTGTGTAGAGCGACATGCGATTCCACCCTACCCTAAGGGGGAGGGGGGCAGGTCCGGCAAGTCCATCTATCCTGTCTTCCCCATAGAAGGGACAACAGCATACACACACCAATGCAAATCTCCAGGGGTCGAAATCCCCCTCTTCGATCACCAAGCGCAAGCTCTTGCAGCTGTCCAAACCCCAACCAGCTCTTGCGCAGCCAGGTCACTGTCACCCACTGGAGTGCTCTCCTCCTCCTCCTGCGCGTGCCGTGGGCCTAGGGACTTGAATGCGAAGCGCCCCTTTTTAACCTCAAAATTGATACTCCAAGGGTGGCCATTGCAATCTGAGCTTCGGCGTAAGTTTGCTGCACCCTCCTTTTTAACAAACCTCCAAGCCATCCTTCCAAAAAACACCCAGGGATCGAGTCAGGCTGCGGAACCGCGGGCCTGGCACCAAATGCCCCCTGACATTTCCTCGCGACTTCTCCTGTTGGTCCCCTCACGCAACAACCCTCAGCTCCGCTGCGCCTGTCCTCATCGACTGGCCTGGGACAAAAATCGATCCCTTCCAAAGAGCGCCGCAGGGGAGGCAGCGGAAAAAACCATCGAGACCCGGCGGCGAAATCTGCGAAGCCCTGCGAAAAGTGTTTAGCTTTCTAGTGGTTTAGCGGAAAAAACATTCGTTGGCAAAAAGTTAAAGTCTTAACAGCCAAGCAAAATGCACCAAAGAATCAAAACCCGGTGGTAGACTGGTCGTAATCCCAGAATTATGTAAAGAATTAGGAGGGCGGATATCCGCAGCTAGTTATGGCAAGGGGATTGTCCCTTACTAACCTTCATCTATCCGGGTTTTGATTGTGGTTGTGTGAGAGGGGGGGGGGAAAATCGAGCCCCTGCAAGCAGCACTGGCCCTCCCCCCCCCCTTCCCGACTTGAAGCAAGCGCAAGCAAACCGCGCCCTCACAAACGGACCCAGCCTGGGAGGCCGCAAGGTGCATTTCTGGCGCAGCTCCTGGCAATCTTCCAGCAGCTGGTCGTACTTGTTGTTGAGGTCCTGCGAAGCCACAGGTTGCGCCATGTGCCCGGGGCCTGGGGCCCGGCAAGTGACGTGAGAAAAATGTTGGGAGAGGGCTTTCCCAACCCCCCCCCAAAGGTTGAGGTGCTTTTTTGTTTACTAGCCCCGGCTTTTTACGAGCCCCCGGCCAACGCCCCACAACCACCAATCCTAGCCCAAAACTTGCATAATCACATCCCTGAAGTAACCCGAAAGCCACGGCTAAACCAGTGGCACAGATCAGCCCCAAACCAAGCCAAAACCGACCCAAAGTCAACCTTAAAAACCCTCCCAACCGCATCCTGGATATCAGCCCTTTGCCGAGCCTACATGAACACCAGACAAACCCAAGACCCGCCCTCATCAAGACCTGTCAACTACCGTCAAGTCATGCCCTGACAAGAAACCGGAAATGCTGGCCATGCCGGGGATGCGGCCGCCCAGCCGACCGACCAACCAACCAACCAACCAACCAACCAACCAACCAACCAACCAACCAACCAACTAACCAGCCTCCTAGCCGCGGTTAAGCCCCGAGCCGGGGCTAGTAAAAAAAGAAAAGCACCGTTTCCCCCCCGAAGCTTCGCCAAAACTGGAGAAAAAAAAACACAAAGGATGTGCTATTGGCCTCTGCCAGCCCAAATCGCTGTATCTCTAAAGTTCAATGCGCCAATCTTACAATGACTCAGATTGCATTGAGAACACCGGGGGGTGGGGACCGACTCCTTTGTGGACATAGGAAACCCATTTGGCGGGGCCGCGTCGTCGGCGCCCCAGAAGGGCTCATGGAAAGGCCAAGGAACAAGGAGCTAGCCTTGCCGCTGCCCTGGCTTCCGCCCACCCCCACCAAGCTCGAACTGGACGGCGGTCCACCAGCTCATCATCGTAGTAGCCGCCCACCTCGGATCAATCAAACTCGAGGGGACTCGAGGGGAATTCGTTGACGCAAACTGAGCCGATGGAATGTTTTTCCTGAACCCCTCACCCCTCGGACCAATCGCGAAGTTCGAGTGGGAATACCTTCCTTCGGTTTAAGGGGAGGGGGGGGAGTTTGTTTGGGGAGCCGGCGGGTCAGGCTCGAACTGTCACATTGAACAGAAAAAACACCCCGCCTGCAGCGCAGTGTGGAGCTTCTTCCTGGGCAGGCGGAGGCGTATTGGGCAACGTTGGACCCAACTTTGTCCACGGCTCGGCCAGGCAGGAACCAAACGGAAAGGATGGAAACCAAACCAGCCTCTTCATTCTGAAAAAACAATTAGGATCCAAGCCGTTCAATCAAGTTCAAAGAAACAGCCTATAGTGTCAAGTACTGCACGGCTGAGACACTGTGTCTGCCCACCTTGTGTAACGACTTCTCAACTACTTGAAGAATCTGAAAATTTATTGGAAAGGAGACTTGCAGCCCGAAGACCTGATTAACAGAAGCCAAAGGAAGCTACTTTGGAGCTGCTCCTGCTATTTCAAAAAAAGTTTTTCAGCATCACCGGAGGTGATGCACAAGTGAATGGGGCTGTTGTTGGCCACCCGTATTTGCGCTCCATCGAAAGCACAAGCCCGGTAAGGCACCTTCGAAGTTTTCCAAAACTCATCTTTTTGACGGGACGTAAAATCCTGGGGAAGAAAGTCACCCAAGTGGGGTTGAAGGGTGAGAAGACAAGCGCCTACAGCAACAGGTGTACAAGTGTTTCGGCCGCCTTCCGACAAGCCGCTACATTGATGATCAAAACATACCACTCCAGAAAACGCAGACCTGAGACGAAGCGCTTTCTGAGCTATCCACCGCACCGGACCGTGACTGGAGCCGGAAAAACGCGCCTGTTTTCTGCCCTTCCGGCACCTTTCGCCTCCGACCTCCGCTCTCTCCAAGCGTGGCGCTTGCCGCGACGCGACGCGCCCACGCGCCCACGCGACGTGACGCGCCCACGCGAGCCGGGCATTGGGTCCAAGGCACATCCGGGCGGCATGTCGGAGGCCATCGGACCCTTGAGCCGAATGGATCCGACTGATCCCAGGGGAGCTCCAACGAGCGGCCGGGGGCCCTTTTGGGATATGGCGATTGGTCAAAACCCAGATGCCTTTTTGGGGGGGGAACCTCCCTTTTTTTTGGGGTCCCTAGAAGAGAATGGGGTGATATGGCAGGTCAGAATGGTGCGGACCGCCATTTAAGGGAAGATCGAAGACGGCCTGGCAGACGTGTGGAAACAACCACAAAGGGGGCTCTTCAGAGCCATGCTTCAGACCCGGCCAACCCCATGTGCAATGCCTGGTGCCGCTGCAAAGGAGAACCAGCAAAGAGAACACCTCCCCACCAACCACTCCCGGAAAAAGGCTTGATTCAAGCGAGGCTGCCATTCGTTCCAGCCTGCATGCTGCTTGAGAGGCTTGGCAATCTAGCATTCGGCTGGCGGATCCAGTGCTCTGCTTTTGTTACCCCCCCCCCCCTCGGATGAACTTGCAAGAATTGCAATAATCGCTGGCATCAGCTGCATTGCTGGCCCTGATCCGGGTTTGGGTACAGGGTAGCTCAGACAACGCCCCATGTAGAAAGGCATGCTCACTGGAAAGCGAGCCGCTAGAATAATCAACCCCTCTTGGCGGGCGCTTCACATTCCCCAGCTCGAAAAATGTGGGGAGACGGGGGGGTTCTCTTGAGCCCTTTTGGGGCTGGTTGAAAGGGAAACCAAAAAGGTGTCCCACCCCCCACAGAGACAAAAAAAAAAAAACACTCTGGCCTCCCCACCCCGCACCCAGGGGGCTTTTCTCCGGCGGATGTTACCAGGCCCGGCGCAGGCCATGAGGCCGTTCAATGCGTGCGCATGCCGCGGACACCAGTGCCAAACGTCCTTCTCAACGCAAAGGCAACCGAAAACAGTGAAGAAGCCCGAGGCACCTGGAAGCTGAGGACCGTCTTGGATTGTCTTCTTTTAGCTTCATGCTTCCCATAGGCCATGGCCAAGTTGCTTCATGTCACTAACCCTACCTCCCTACAAGAATCCTGAAATGTGCCTTCACCCTGAACCAGGCTAACAGGGGTGCTTCCTAAAATGGGGACCCCTTGTGCTCAGTGGCTCTGACATTGTTTCCCTTTTAGACAACCACGCATGATCATCGCTGGCCTTTGTCGGTCCCTTCGGTTCGTTCATCTAGCCGCCTCTTTCCGGATGGCAAAACCACACCGCCGGCGTGCAGGAAAGAGAGCCGCAGTTCCTCGCCCGCAGTTCTAGTTGGGTTGCGTTGCTTTGCCTCCCATGAATTTTTTGGGTCCAGGAAACCTATGCTCAGTGCCGCTTACGAGTCTTTGGGCCGAGGGCCGATGCCCGGCTTGGCCATCCCGGATCGCAAGCCCAACCAGGCCAGCCCAATCGGCCAGCTTTGCCACGGGACGCGATTTGACTTCAATGCCTAGTCAGCTGCCGTCCAAGACTGTGCTTCAGTGTTCAGGTTGCCAGGTTTCTTGCAAAAGGAAAAAGCGAAGGCGACAAGATATGGCCGCCGGCTGCGATCCTCTAAAGGAGCACCAAACCAATCCCACGCGGCTCAATCCTCGGGCACTTCCAGTTGTAGAGGTAGTACTGCCTGAGACAAAGGAATGGCGGAGCTGGAATGCATCGATACCTCATTCTCAGCTTGGCCACTAGCTCCTTGCCCCACAGAAACAAGCACTGCTTGCAGACATCCCCGCATGCAGTCAAACAGTCGACAGGCTTACGAAGCCAAGGCCCCAGCAGGTAGCCGTCGCCGATGCCGAATTTCAGGTCCTGGCCGCCCGAAGCGCCGGCCGCCCGCTCAGCACAGCAAAACCCAAGAAGCGCGGTGGGCCGGTGCCTGGCTCTTGGTCGGGTTTGGGCTCCGGATCCAACCAGACCAAATCTTTGGGAGGACTCCCTCAATCCAAGGCACCGATTCGAATCGGTGCGGACCAAAAGCCAAGGGGATACCTGGGGTTTCTTGGAGCGCCAAGGAAGCCAAGGAAGCCAACGTGCAACCAAAAAAGCAAAGCCCTGCCTTCAGGAAGGACTCGTTCTCCATGATGTCCAACGCGTTGAAGACGTCAAAGTCCTATGGGGGCTGGGGGGATGAATAAGGGCTTACTAAGGTCCATTTGCCCCCCCCCCCGCCTCTCCCTCAAACAACTCCTTCGGTCAGCACTTTACGGAATCAGCTGGCTGACTTGTTGCTTTGGGATTGCACTCGCTCTGACCCTTCTTTTGACCAAAAGTGGGTCCATTCCGGGTCCATGTGATATAATATATCTATATATATATATATATTATACAGTAACAAGGGAGGAAAAAAAGCAAGGAGTCCACCTACGCTCTCGTGACCCAAACGCTGCATCTCTTCCGTGCACGACCGTCCGGACCTTGCACTTCGCTTGCGCCCAAGACTTCAATTTCATGGTGGGATCACTCGAGGTGTCTCCCCACTTCCCTGAGCTGCTTCGCCCCTTCCAAAAAAGCACCGGGAGGCCGCGGCGGCGGTCCTGCTGCCTTGCCAGGATCAGTGCGTCAAACATCAAGTCCTGGGGCCGGACGGGTGACTCATCAACCGGGTGCCGAAAGTGAATAAGAACCTTTTCTCTGGAAGGGAAAGGACACCCCCCCCTTTCCCTTTCAGTTAGCACCGCGCTTGAGAGTAGTCGCCTTGCCACCGGGAGGAGGAAAAAAGAAAAAAAAAAAGCACTCCATCGCCTGCAGGGGCACAGTGGTGGCCACGTTCCAGTAGGAATAGGCCGCCCGCAACGTGTTGTGCTTCGGATGGCCTCGGAAAATGTCCACGAGCGGAAGCCAGGAAACGCGAAAGCCCGCTTTCAAAAATGGCCGGGAGGGTCTGTCTTTTGTGGAGGGTACCCCTTGCGTTGGTCCCAAAAAAAGACGCACCAATGTTCAGAATATCTGTCGAAAGCTCTTTGGCAGCGGCCCAAAATCGAAGAGGGCAGGCTGTAGAATGAGCACACATCCGTGACCTCGCCCTTCTCGTTCTCACCTCAAGGATTGCCCTGTGACCATTGGAGCCCCTAGTGCCTGTCGCAGCCCGTACTTGCCCGTCTTTGATGAGCGCCCAAACAAGGCCGAACATTAATTTGCGTTTTTTTTTGTGGGGGGGAGGGGGGGGGGGGCTCAAGGGAAACCAGCCGGCAAACCGAAGCCGTTTTGGTGACCTTAAAAAAAATATGACCCCCGTATCATGATGCACCAAATGACCAAATGCCACCCTGAGTGGCACCCCGAGGCCGCGGCGAACATAGCAATACACAACGCCAGGTCGTGGCAGCATCCAATGCTCGATCTGCGTGCGCAGATTCAATCAGCAGCATGCCCAGAAAAGGTTGTTCATGGCTCTCAGCGCGTCCCAAAGCGAGCTCGCAAAGGACCCCAAAGAACACATGGCAATGATTCAGCTGTGTCTGGAATCTGGAAGCATCCCACTGGCTTGTGCTTTCTGCCCCCTGAAGTCGTAGGAACGCATCCGAGGGAATCGAAGGCCAATCGCCATGGGATCTTTGGGAATTGCCCGTTTCGTAGGGCTGCCACGGGCCCATGGGCATCAAAATGAAACAGGATCCCTGTGGCAAGTTCATGTCGAGATGTTTCGATGTGTGTACACTGTCACAGTCCTTCCATTTGGTTAAGGCCCCAAGAAAAAATAAAAGTCCGGTAGTGATGAATTCCTTTCAAAACCAACAAGGGAAAATTAAAAAAAAACGTATTCTTAAGCAAATGGAGGATGCATGGAGATGTCCCTATGTCCAGTTTCGTGCCAGCCTCTGCAGGCGTAAACTCCGGGTGCAATGTGAACTTCCTGGGCGCAGCGCCAACCCCACTTTGGAAGGGTCAGTTCAACCAGGTGGTTTGGTCCCTCAGACAGAGTTGGCAAGTGATCTTTCGCAAGCTCCTACAATTAGGTTACAGTACACTCTCTGGAAAAATGCATGGAAGCGAACATGTTGGACATCAACAACGCCGGCTGGGTCTGAGTCTGCCATCAGCGCCAGCTCTTCCCGTCTTTCAGGGTTTTGGAGCCCCAGGCGCTTCAGATAGTTCGCCACCAAGCGATGCACCCGGCCAACGTCCTCCTTCTTCATCTCCCGCATGCCAGCAATTTGTGGAGCATCGGGCACCTCACAAGTTCCACTTCCCATGTCTGAGCCCCAATTCATACGTGTCCTCATTGAATGACAAAAATTGGGCTTTAAGATGACCCAATGCAAGGTGTTTACTTCAAAAAAAAAACTGAGCGAGTCCGCTCCAGCTCGTTTTGGTCGTTGTGAACATCAGAACCCTGCGCTGCCATTCGCGCCAAGCACGGAGCTGCTTGGCAAGTTAGGAGTCGAAAAGGGAGCAGGGGTCTCAAAAATGCCCACAAGTACTGCCAAGACCCTGCCTGCTCTATCTGTCGCCAAGCCTGCACAAAGCAAAATTCCTCCGGTCCTCAGATCCCCTGCTAGTTGAACTTGTGGCTCAGATGGGGAAACCCAACGAAACCAACCAGAAAGATCCAAAAAGCTAAGTGGAACCAGATGGCCAGCCCAAGAGAAGGAAAGAAACCTTCCCGTTCCATATGGAGCCCAACACCCAACTCGCTTCGGGCATCTCAGGCCTTGTAGAGTTTGATGGTGCGCGCCATGGTCATCCGCGCCCCAAGGTGGGAAAAGCCGACCTCGATGAGCTTCTTGGGGTTCAGCGATCGGTGCCAGTAGCCTCACCGATAGAAAGCGACTGACCGCCCCGAGCGAAGGTCAAGCTGGCCCGGGGGGTCTGCCCAAGATTTGGCACCCTACCACTTGCCCAGCCGAAGAAGCAAAGCACACAAAGCACCACTTGCAGTTCAGTGAAGAAAGCCATTCTCGAATTGCAGAAGACTTTTTGAGGCCGACAGGCATCGATCAACTTCTTTGATTGCTTGTTTCGTTGGTTGATCGGGTGCGTTGCTTCCTTCATAGGTACATCACATCTAAAACGTATTCACAGGCACCTACGCAGGCACCGACAAACACAGCCTCACCAGCAGAACATACTTTTCCATAGGCCGTTGCTGTCACCGTTGGATTGTCCCAGGTTGCCCAATTGCAGAAATGTGCGCGCTAAGCAGCGGGGAGGCAGAAACACCTGTAGCTGTTTTGGCAATAAGGCACCAAGAGCATAAGCGCTCATTGGACAGCAAGGCTAAGTAGGGCAATGAAGCAGTCAGGCAGGAAGGCGGCCCGCGGGCAGCTGCCAAACATCGACATCGCAAGCTGGACGTCGATTTGTGGACTTCGTCGCACGTATCGCAAATCATTGGTGTGTCAATGTTGGACCCTTTTTTGGTTGGTTTCAAGGGGAACCAAAAGGAAACCAACCATTTTGTAGGCTGCCCAATTTTGAGACAAACTCCCTTCTCCAAAAAATCGGCACGTGATTCTCGTGACTCTTGGGGTAGGGCTTCCTGGCTGAGTCTGAGTTTCCCAGTCACCTGACTTCACAACAAGGGCAACCTGTCTGTTTGATGTCGTCATTCTGGTCCCGTTCCAGTTTTTCAGCGTCTCGGGGCAGCCAGCCGCTGAGCTAACCAAGGCACGGCATTCACTGATCGGCCTGGGAAGCACCACTCCTGCTGTGTAGACCGCCTGCCAAATGTTCTCCCGGTTCACTCTGCGAGTGATCTCCTGGTGGGCGCCAGAACGGCTTAACGGCTTCAAGCGCCTGGCCTTGTCGCATGACTCCCTCACAAAAGAGTTGCTTCGCTGACAGGCGGCGGTTCAAATCTGAAGCCCAGATTTGCAACCTCCAAACTGAGTCTTTGCTTCGGGGCCTGACGGCGCAACGCTTTCCGCCAACAAGCCCTCATCTTTAAACCGCCCGGGGCGAGAAGAGTGACCCCACGCTGCACTCCAAGCATGCGTCACTCTTAAAACAGTAGCCTTTGGGTGGTGCTCGACTGCAAATCATGCAAAGCAAGCAATCAATCAAAAACCGCTGCAGAATGAGTCATTCCCGGGTCAACGCCGGATTCAACTTCATACAAGGCAATCGCAAATTTGTTTTCCACTCACTTGCCGTTCAATGAGACTCAACCTGGCATGGAGCCGCTTTTGGGCACCCTTTTCAGGCACATTCCTGGCCAAGCAGCAGGGGATGAGGGAATGACCCCTGCAACCATCCCCTAGGCGTTTCCTTTCAGGGAATCCCTAGGTTCATTCCCAACCCCCGGTCATTCCCTCCAACCCCAATCACATCGGCGTGAAAAACATCCGCTCGGCCGTCCTTGATCAGCACAGGGGCCAGGCGCTTGGAGCGGAGCCGCTTGTGGACGCAAAGGAAGTTGATCTCCGCCATCTTGATGGACTTCTCCAGGACCTGCCAGTGCTTGCTGCTGATCCCTCTACAAAAAGTGCTTCACTTCTCGTGGGTCCAATTCAACCAAAAAGCTAAAGTAACCATCAAGCACTTTCCCAGGCAGTGAATCCAGGCCCCCACAAAAACCAAGGCACAAAAAATGTCGCACCCATCAGTCCAAACCACCGATCAAGGATTGCCTGAAACAGTCGCAAACCGCCCAACAAAAACTCTGTGATACGCATTGGAAAACATTGCAGGGAAAGCGGCCCTACCATTGGGGAACAGGGGAACACCCCCTGAAGGCACGGTCAAAGGATGTAAGGGGCGAAGCTGGGGTGAGGCTGGAGCAAAGCCTCTCGGTCTTGACAAAGCCTTGTGCCACACTAGGTTTGGTGCTAGCAACATTGAGGTCATGCTGCTGTTCGCAACTCTACCAGTCACGGTATCTGAGTAAGAAAGGGCGGACCAAAAGCCGGGACCATTTGCCAGTCTGCTTTCTACAAGCGCTCTTCACAAGTATCGCCCACAACTTAAGCTTGCAAAACCCGGAAGGTGGAAATGAAATGCTTGCGACGAACAATCTGGCAACATGCACCCGTGGACCCCCTGTTCAAATCTCGACCCCCCAGTTCGAAGTACCGAAGATTGCTTGCACCTCGGCTCGTCCTGCTGCAGCCCTGTTTCCGAAGCCGTGAATCTTCAACCCACAAAAAGTGCCCAAGGGTGCGCGAAAGTGAGAGCCTTAGCAACCCGGGTGCTTGAGATTCACCCAATTGGCGCCGGCAGCGCCCGAATGTGCGCGGGGATGCCAGTGATAAAGCCCACCAACCTCAGACCAGCGACGGTTGGCCGAAGAAAAAGGAAGGCGCAGATGTCTAGGAGCTCAGACAGTTGTTGGAGTCTACTCCCCCCAAGAAAACGAGGTATATTCCCTTTATGTAGTGGCTATCATGTTCTCTATTTCCTCGCGCGCTAATGTTGACTGCATATTAGTCAACCCCAGTTTGTGAATATGGGGGCGTTCCCCTGCCACTAAACCCACGTTGGCTAGTTGATTAATATGGGGTCAACATGCGCCTGCTTGCTAGGCACCCGCTCTCCCACAACCATATCCAGGCAGCTTCCCTCCACCCTGCACACGGACGCCCAAATGCCAGCTCCTAGCACTCAAGCTGCTGAGCGGTTCGCGGGCTGTGACTGGGCTGCTCAGGTTGGGTTGGCGAATCCGATTTTCCATTATAGGGAAGCCACAATGGGGCCAGTTCCTTGCGTAAGCCAAGAGAGGGATTGAGGATTACCTTTGAACAGCCCAGCTTGAAAACACGGCCATACCCTGCTCCACCAACAGGAATCTCAAAATGCGATTGCTACATGTTGCGAGTCCACGCGGGGAGTGAGTTCAAGTGCAGAAAGCGGGGCACCCCAGGACCGCCAAAAACCACCTCGGGGAATCATCCAAATAAGCTCCATGCCTTTCGCACCCACGGCACCCACGGCACCCCTGGCCAACCCACTTCGAGCCAAACGTTTGTCTCTCCTGTTTTGCTTCAACCGATTGGCGTACTGGTTTGTACTGTTTTAATATGCTGTTTGCTGGTTTTGCATGTTCTTTGTTCTGGTGTTCACTAATGCTTACTGGTTAAACTTGCTTCTTACTTGTTTTTTGTACTCCTGAGGAACTCCGGAGGCTTCAGCGCCCAGCGCAGGAAATGGATGGAGTAGTCGAAGCGGAACATGCTGTCCTCGCGAGCCAGCTTCTGCCAGCTTCTTTCAGCTTCTTCAGCTTCCCATCAAACTGTTCTGGAACTTGGCGGTTCTGGAAGTGGATTGGGGGCCTGGGGACTTGAACCCTGGCTCTTGTAGAGGGCACCAGGGAATTCTAACACATCTGCAAGCCGGAGACGTGGTCGCACGCTGCGCCACCTGAAGCCGCCCCGAAGCCTTTCCAATTGCCTGCAGTCAAAAAATACCTGCTCGAACACGGGACTACGCTATTGCAGCTTGCAACTTCTCACAGCTGGCCGGAACCACATGCCACAATCCACCCGTTTTGTTTGTGGCTGTCAGTTTCAATCGGTGCCACTTCCGGCAGCAAGTTGCGACCGAACCGTTCGGTTGCAACTTGCGGCCAAGCATCGTCATCTTCCACGTAGTTCTCGGTCAAGAGGCTGTAGATCTCCTGAATCTCATGTTCGTCGTCGACATTGCCTGCGGACGCAACGAAGTTTTCGGGCTCAGCCACATGCAGCACGCTGCCAGCCTCACGGCAACCAAAGCACACAACCCTCCGGGAATGTGTCACAAACGGGAGACCCGTGCAAATGGCACCTTTCATAAAACATGTCCACTACCCCTTGGTTGCTGTTCACCTCTCCTGTAAAAGTTGTTCACTTTTTGCGGGGTCAACGGAAAACGATCAGCACAGCCGAGGCACAGGTGCACCATTCAAACTTGTCCGGCAAAGCGTAGGGCTCCTGCGGGCGCCAGAAGAGGCAAAAACGCAAGCATCAAACAAATGTGGGTGGCTTCTTTGAGGAACCCCAATAATAGGTGGCAGTATGGCATTCCTTTCGCTTTTTTGTTTTAAACCCCAAAAGGGTACTGTCAAAACATGACACGCCCATGTCGTCCCATGTCTCAGTTTTTCTTGTTCCACGCCACTCGTTCCCATCGGCCCCATCCCGGGCCGTTTTGAGCACCATTGTCTGGCAAGGGGCTGCTCGAACCTCCTCGGGCGTGCGGACCTCATCCAGTGGCCCGCTGTCCTGGCCGTACCTGGAGCGTTGCGCTGCGCAAGCGACTTCACAGCATAAAAGGAGTGCTTCTTCTTCCGTGAGTTACTAGGCTGATTGTATAGGTCCATGTATGAACCCATGGCCAAATTCCCTTTTCCAGGATCCCTATTGAAAAGCCGCTGCAAAGGAGACCGGTTCCTTGCGCAACACAAGGGCAAGGATTCAGGATTGCGATTGAACGGCCCGGCTTCTTCGCGCCAAAACGAGCACCAGATTGGTCAGTCGGGCGGAGTCTCCTCGTTGCTCCGCGCGGGATCCCAAGCCCCAAGTCTCCCGCCCGCGAGCTCCGCGGGCGAAGTCCCTCTAACTCTTCCTTGTGAAATGTTGGGCGCCATGCCAAAGACGGATCCAAAAAATAAAGACCCAAATGGATCTCAAGATCATTTCTGGAGCCCCCTTTCTTGGTGGTGAGGACAACTCCCAGAATCTTAGGGGGAAGGGGTCTCCACCCATCCCAGGGGTCACTCCGAGCTCATAGACGGCACCGGCTGGGTGTCCCAAAAGGCATGCTCCCGGGCCGTTTGCCGCCGCGACTCCTGGAGCGAAGGGACCGCCGCCTTTCACACCGCTTGGGCCTCGAACAAACCCCTAAGCTGGACTCTGCTACAGCTTCTGAGCCCAAGAGAAAGGACTGGAAAAGGAGCCACGCAAGAGAAGCTTCCAGCCTCTGCCCCCCCCAACCAAAGAAAAGAAAGAACCTTGGGCAAAACAGGCCCCAGCCGCCCCCCTGACCCCGGACTTGCCTTCTCGGATCCGTCCTCGCATGGCCCCCGCTTCCGGAGCATTTGCAGGAGCTGCTGCTGCGCGTCTCCGTCCGCCGCCTCCTCCGGTGCAAGAAACTGGGCCATTATTTTCACAGTGGCTGGGAGTTCTCAAAGTCAGACAATGGGGGTTGTTGCCCTTCAACCCACCACTTAGGGGGTGACTAAAATCCGGGAAAAAAAGAATCAGCGAGGCCAGAGAAAAAGTGCCACGCCCAAAGCCCTGATCCAACCCCCCCCAACTCAGGGCCGAAATGCCCGAAAAAAACCAGCCAGCTCCGAGTCCAAGAATGCCTTGCCCAAAGGCCAAACCTCTTGATGCCAAGCGCAGGATGCAGAAGCGCCGGGGACTTCGGACTTCCATTTGCAGCCAAATTCATTCGGCCAGAAAGGGCAGTGAGACTGCACCATCCAGTAGCATCATGGCTTCAGAACTTCAGACTCCGTCATGCATTGAACACCTGGCGAAAAGGTCCTTTGTATACTGTTGCCTCTGCCAGCGCGTCTGGACCAGGAAGGCCTTGGAACAAATCGACTCTTCAATGCTGATCTCCTCGCCCGCCGAATCGCGACAAAGGCGATTCGTCCTCTTCGCTGGCCGCCGGAGCGGCATCTGGGTAGCCTCCGCCCTCCTTCTTGGCCGGCTTCTTCCTGAGCGCCACAAGGTCACCCGTTTTGCCCGTTGTTGTTTTATTTCGAGACCTCTGTGGCCGCTCCCGCGTGAAGAAGAACACGGAGCCAAAACATTTAAAGGGAGATGAATGCTTGAATACCTGACTCAGTTCCAGCCATCACCAGACGACTGGGGCCTTCAACCGCCGCCTGAATGCCAAGCTCAAGGGGCATTTCTGGAACGGGGTTGCTGACCAGACGTCAGCATCTCAGAAGTCTTGGCAGTACTAAACACAAGATTCGAAGGACGGCTGAGCCGAGAGGCTTCTTCTTTTTCTTCTTCTTCTCGCCGGCAGGGCCGGATTCCTCGTTCTCCTCCTCCTCCTCCTCTGCCTCCTCCTCTTCCTCGTGGTCCTCCTGCGTCGCAAGCCGCGCGGCCACAAACTACTCTTCCCTACGCCACATTTCTTTCAAACAAAACATCCGGAACCCATGGCAATGCGAAATCCCCGAGTGACTGGTGCAACGGGGTAGTTCAACTCAATTCCCCACATCGCACATCGCACCCTACCCGCCAGTCCTTGCTTGGGCTCTTCGCCTCTGCCATGCCGGCTCAAGTATCTCCGGCAGCTAGCAGATTGGGCACCCCCCCTGTGAAAGCCCCTTGCGGGGAGAATTCTGCATTTGAGCTTCTCGTAAGTGCCATGTCAAACTCGGCGGGGAATTGGCCACGGTGAAGAAATCGCATTTGGATTGGTCCAAGTCAGCACGAGCCATAGGCTGCGGGGGACCGAGCAACCCGCGCGCGCTTGTCCAAAGTCTCACGTACAAGGGAGGTTGTGGAAGACCCCATTTCTCTCATACGCAGATTCTTTAACCTTGCCATTCAAACTTCTGCCTCATACAGGGGAAGCGGTTCAACCACTTGATGGAACCCGCCGAACATCATGAAAAAGGACATCATTGCAACACCAGACTCCGGAAGCCCATTCCCTGTGCCCTCGCAAGCGCTGCTTTATCCCCACCCCAGCCGAAGAAAACCAGGGCGCTTTCGCCGCCGTGGGTCCTCATGGCCCTGCACTCGGCCCCTGTGGCAGTGCGAGGGCACTAAGCACTGCTCCATCAAAGAAGAACTAAGCCCATGCCCTGCGGATCGATCTTCGGGCATTTCCAGTTGTACAGGTAGTACTGCCTGAGCACTCGAGAAAGCACGCCACAAGCCCCTCGCCCAGAGATTCATTGCAAAGGCCGCGACAAAACCCTACCCGAAAATAGGCAGGATGTGTGAACTCTGGGAAAGGACGGATGGGCAAGCGGCAAGAACCCGTCGCCAATGCCGAACTTGAGTTCCTGCACGCGGCTGGCTCTGTGAGTTGGACACTGATCAGACCTTCAGAACCCGCCCTCCTTCAGGAAGCTCTCGTTGTCCATGACATCCAAGGCATTGAACACATCAAAGTCCTGGCGCGCAGCCAGTGTGACCCTGATGCGCTCGCACTCGGGCGCTCAGGGCCAGGCAAGATTCTTGGCCAAGATCAGGGCATCGTACATCAAATCCTGGCAGGGCGTGGACAGAGGAGTTGCGGAAAAAAGAGTAATGGACTGTCATGGCTGCAATGCTTTTGCCACCACCTGGACCACCTGGGATTCAAACGCCATGCGATCCAAAATATCCAAGCAACCAAGCAACCAACCAACCAGCCAACCAGCCAGCCCAACCAGCCCACCCACCCGCCAATCCACCGACCCAGCAACCAACCAACGACACAACAAATCGCAAGCCAGCCCAAGCCCTCCAACCAACCAAGCGACCAACCCCAACCTACTTTGCCCAGGCCCGCCCTACAATGCAGGTCCTGCAAGGGAACTGTCGTCGCCACGTTCCAGTACGAGTAAGCAGCTTTGAGCTGGGTGTGCTTCTCATGGCCTAGACACCACGCATCTATCTGCAGGCACCCGCACGGCACCCACGCGCGCCAGGGTCCCGGGCCAAGGATCGAAGAGGGAAGGTTATAGAAGGAACACACGTCAGTGACCTCGCCCTTCTCGTTCTCGCCTCCAGCTACGCCGCTACGCACTCTCTGCAGAGAGTGGCCACACACACACACACACACACACACACACACACCGGCTTGAGCCTAACTGGCAACCATTCACATCCGAAGATTAGCGTCAGCCCCAAAAAAGGATGCAAAGATTTCACAGTCAACCTCACGGATTAGCCCCGTGGACATGGATGCACTGCTTCGACATGGGACCCAAGCGCCCCAACAAACAAAATATTTAAAATGACGGGGTTCCTTCAGTTAAGGGCCGTGTAGAAGGCCCTCACACAAGCCGGTCGGATGCTGAGCTTTGGGCGCACGTAGCAGTAGATGACGCCGGGCCGCGGCAGCATCCAATGCTCGATCTCACAAGTGGGGCACTTGCGAGGGGGGAGCCCATCGAACTGGGGCCCCCTTTGCACTTGAGAAGGGGAGACACGAAAGGTAGGATACCGTATAGTGATTCCCCACCATGGAACGTCCCCGAGAAAGTCTGGAGGTGTTGGTGCTACTGAGGTTCCCCCAACATTTGCTTGAGGCTACCTTTCGTGTAAGCTCAGCCTCCATTTTGAAGCCTCCTGAAAGCTGCCCCAAGCCTCCCCAAGCCTCCCCGAGCCCATTTCAGAGACCCCGTAGCTTCCAGCTGGGAAAAACCAACCAGGTCAGGGTAAAACGGGGGTAACTTCCCATCCCCAAGAACTCGGGCCAATCCAAGATCCAAACCGCCGATCTCACCCTCCCGCCTCCGCCGGCGAGAGCTCGGGATGCAAAGGGAACTTCCTGAGAGCCGGGTGCCGCGGTCAGCTGGGCTGTCCAAACTCGTCTGCCAAAGGTTTAACTTTAGGCTAATGGGATCCCAACCACTAAACCGACACACAACTAAAAGGCTAAGGAACCGGACGGCTGGGAAGCAGAGAAATGTAATAAGCTGGAAGGAGGCAACTGGAGAAGAGTCCTGCGAAGACCCGGCCGGAGCGAACTTTTGGAACCAGTTAAGTTGGCTGTTTTTCCCCTTTCCAGCAACTAGACCTGACGGCTCCGGGCGGGTCGAAAACCTGCGGACGAGGGTCTTCAGGTAGGTGGACACCAGGCCGTGGACCCGGGCCACGTCCTCTTTCTTCATCTCGCGCATGCCGGACAGCTGGCACTTCTCTGGCACCTGCCCATCTCAGAGATCAGGCGCCACACAAAGGTAGATGATTGGTATATGATGTGCGTATAGATGTGTATATTTATCGATACGTTTGCATAAAGGTACAACATGTATAATTGCTTTGGGCTTACCCGCGTTCGGGCCGAATATCCTCCGTACGATTCATGTCACGACTGTTATGACGGTCTGTTATGCGCTGGGAATCCCTCAATCGGATGACAGGGTGTTGAACCACTTTGCGCTGGCTAGGCACGGGGAGTACGAGATGAGAAAAGCGTACAACTTGGCAAAGAGTGACAACGTGAACGATGATCCCAGTTCCTCCAGTAGGCAGATATCTGGTATCATCAGTGGGCAGGAGCTGAACAACCGTTCATGTTTGAGTGACACCTGGGGATCGGAGAGGGAAGCGCATGTGCAGTGAGGAACAGAGAAAAACGTCATGATCTAGAGCGGCGACGACGGGAAGCGATAACGTGCCCAGCGGTGGGGTCAAACTCATCCCTCCAGGAGCACAAGCCACACCGCCGTCAGAACATATAGAAGTTGTATATAATGTACACATACATCATGTCACATGAGGAAAAATACTTGGCTCATCTGTTGGGAGAAGTGGGTGCTATAGTCCTTCAAGAGCATCCCTAGTCGCCTTGTACAGCTTGATGGTGCGTGCCATGGTCATACGCGCTCCAAGATGCGAGAAGCCAACTTCAATGAGCTTCTTGGGGTTCAGAGACCGGTGATGATATCCTCAAAGCTTCACCCGTACGGGTGACTTCAACTCAATGATCCACATGACTTGAATCGCATCTCCAGCAGCTCTGGCGTGGGTGCTGTGTTGCCCTAGGCTGCCCTGGTCACACAAAATCCGCTGTGACCCCCCAAAAGCCTTTGAGAGTCTACTGACATGGCATTCAAAAAGATACAAGCAGTACCGTGACTCGAAAAGGTAGTCGGTGCATCCGAGCCGCGGCATTCGCTGACGGGCCGTGGCAGCACCACCCCAGCGGTGTAGATGGCCTGCCAAATGTCCTCGCGGTTCACCCGGCGAGTGATCTCCTATGGACTTGGCGAGTGGGCGAGTGGGCGAGTCGGGCGTGCGCCCGTCCAGAAACTCGAATGGCGTCTCAAAAACATATACCATGGCACATTGGCAAATGGAACCAAAGACTAAAACCTGCGAAGCCCTAGTTCTTTAATTTTGAGCCCCACCCAAATGAGCAGAGACAAGTGACACATCTCAATGCAGTCCTTGATAAGGACGGGGGCCAGGCGCTTTGACCGCAGCTTCTTGTGCACGCACAAGAAATTGATCTCCGCCATCTTGATGACCCTCTCATAAACCTAGCCAGCCCAAAACGAGAGACCCACCGCATGTTACTCTCCAAAGAGTGGGGTCTCCTCCAAATGGTGGGTCCCTGTTGGCTGGTCGGTCATTATGGCACAAAGGTGACGGGTGCGGACCGGTCGGAGGTGGGGCCAACGGGAACTCTATGAAAAAGCTGGCCGGAGACAACAAACTCTGGGTCTGACCAGCTGGGCCTGAGGCAAGGAAAAGGTCGAGCCCGCGAATGCACCGTTGAACCCTCACCGAAACTTAGGGCCGCATCACATCAACTTTCCATAGCCAGCCTGGATCTGAGCAGGTATCCCTGTGATGAAGCCCACCAGCCTAGGCACAGCACGGCGCCAGCGCCGGCTCAGCAACACATAGCTTCCCTGAAGCTAGTGCTGTGCACGAAGCCTTCTCAACTTTCGAGCCCTTACACCAGCACTCCCAGACTGCCTTTCAGCCACGCCGCTTGCCTCCACCCTTCACGCGCACGCCCAGATGCCAGTTCCTGCGCCCGCAGGCTATTTTTTCGCGTTTTGTCACATGCGAGAAGTCTGGCCTCAAGTACTCCGGTGGTTGCAAGGCCCACTTCAAGAAGTCCGTGGAGTAGTCGAAGCGGAACATGCTGTCCTTATGAATGCTCCCAGTCCAACCCTGCGCCCCCAAAGACTGCCCTTGCTCCCCATTGAAGCCAACAGAAAGGCGAAGCGGAGTTGTGACCAAGTCGAAAGCACATTCGGTAAACACATCAATGCCGCAGCCCTCAAAACAAAGCCGGCGCCTGCATCCACAGCTTTGCTCAGACTAAGCATCGTCATCTTCCACGTAATTCTCCGTCAGCAGTGTATAGATCTCCTGCAGTTCGTCTGCGTTGTTCACGTCACCTTGGCAGTCGTCATCAGAAATCCTGCGGTCTTGCCGGCACCCATCAACCCTGGCTGCATGCAATGTGGCTGCTGGTTTCAAAAGACGTGCAAACTCAACCAAAGACTGCACAACCACGCCAAGCAGCATGCACACCACTCGAACTGTGCGGGCAAAGGGTACGGTTCCTCAGCTGGAACTTAGGTGAAAAGTCAACAGGCCCAGATCGCATAAGAAAGAAAGAAAGAAAGAAAGAAACACACAAAGAAACAAACAAAGAAACAAAAAAACAAAGAAACAAAGAAACAAAGAAACAAACAAAGAAACAAAAAAACAAAGAAACAAACAAACAAACAAACAAACCTTCCGCGCCATTGACGCATCTCACGCCCGGACTCCGCTCGCACGTCATCAGGCGCCTTGTCCACGTCCAAAGGGCCGGTTTCTTGCGGGTACCTTCCGAGCGAGGCAGCTCCAAGGGCCAACGCTCCTGCTCGAACCCACCAGGGAGACATCAACGGGCGGGTTGGGTCCCGAATCACGACTCTATGGATCGATGGGTTGCCCCTTCACAACCCTTGGCATGGCTTGGCTGACGAAGTGTTTTTTTGCAGCGCCCCCTTCCTAAGAAATGAACCAACCAAAAAAACAAAAACAAACAAATAAAAACAAAACAACACTGGAGCCAAGAACCGCGAATTGGCAACCCCCCAAGCCCCACCCAGCCGGCAAAAAAGCAACCACCAATGAAAGCGCCACGCCCCTTCGGCGGGCCCTCTTGCTCCCCTCCCCCCCCGTTTCAGCCGCTCTTTCCCGGTCCAACGGGCCAAGCCCCGCCGTCCATCCGTCCATCCCCTCATGTCCCGTCCATCCGTGCGCCGTCCGTCGCTGGGCACTCGGAGCTCATGGACGGCACCGGTTGGGTGTCCCAGAAGGCGTGCTGCCGCTCCGCCTGGCGCCGGGACTCCTGGCTTCCGCCGAGCGGGCGGAGGCGCCGGGCGCCGGGAGGCGGAGGTCTCGGGACCGGGATCTTCCGGACTTTTTTGCCTTGTGACCTTTGTGGCTAAGAAGCGACTGGGATCGGGGGAAAAAGAGGCACTGGGACTGTGGGATTTGACACGGGAGGATTGTGGTTAGAAAGAGAAATGATACATGTGTGACTTTTGTTGAGTTGGGGTGTGCCGTGTGTGCTTTTCTCTTTGTTTCCTGTGGATTTATGTTGTTCTTTGTTGTGTGTTTGTGTGTTTGTTCTTTTATGTTGAGTTTGGCTTGTGAGTTTGCTTGTGTTTGGTGGCAGCCCTAAAAAATGGCCAGAACCAAAAACACACAACATGTTACCATGGTATGGGAGCAAAAGAAACAAGCTGTCTTTGGGCAGCTCTGCTTGAAAATAAACAGAACACCCAAAAAAACCTTGCCGACTAGAGTGAAAGCAAAGTCAGCCACTAATGTTCGGCTTCTCTTTGAGTGTTGGTTTGCGCTGGTGGTTTGCTGGTTAGGGGGGGTGGCTTGCGATCTACCCCAAAAGAAGCAGGGGTGCAAACCCCCAAACCACCAATCCAAACCACCAAGTAAGGGTTACCTGATAAGTACTTTGATGACCCCCAAAGTCAGAATGATGACCCCAGGCTGGGAAAGCGACTTTGCTCTCAAAGTTCACCCCCCCCCCTTTTCAGGAAACAAACATTGCCGCGCTCAAACCCTCAAACTTCAAGTTCATTGTGGGAATGGCCCTGTTTGGCGGCCCTTGCTTTGGTTCTCGCAAACTCACTACAAATCTCAGATGTGAACAAAGGCCATAATTAGGAAGATGAGCCAAAGGCAGTGGCAGCTAGCAACTGACATTTCAGAACATCCGTGCGAACGGAAAGCCAGCAACGAAACAGCTGAGGTTGTAACGCAAACAACAGCTCCCACTTTGTTTGTGCTAAAATTCAGCCAGTGGCCAACATGCCGAAAGGAACCTCGTCACCAAAGAAAATCGTGGTTGGAGAAGTCCTTACGTGCCAATCGGTCTTTTTCCAGAGCCGCCCTTATTTTTGCCCCTCAACTCGAGCCCTGCTGTAAACAACTAAAAGGTCAGGCATTCCAAATCCACCAACCAACTCAACAGTCTCCCGTCCTCGCAGGGGCCCCTCCGCCGCAGCATCTGCACCAGTTGCTGTTGGCTCAAGGCTGCATCCTCCTGCGCATACTGGATGAACAAACAAATTCCGTGTTTGCCTGGCAACCCGCAATTTGTGAAGCATTTTGTTCAAGAATAACTTCAATCGAAAAGATCGCGGACCAATCTAGGAATCTGGCATCCTTCTCTTCGGCCGTGGCAGCATCGGCTGGCTTCTTCTCCTCCTCTCCATCATCTCTCTCTTCGTCCTTAGCTCACAAACCCAGGCAGCCGCTAAACGCACTTGAACCAAACGCGACGCCAAACCTTCCCACATCTACCGCGCCTTGGCGCTCGGTGCCTCCGCCGCAGTGTAGCCCGCCATGGGGGTGAGCAATTTGAGCGAGCCACTTGCTTGCCCTAGGCAATGAAGGTTCGTGATTCAGTGTTTTCAGAGGCACTCTGTGTGGCCTGATCCATTTCTGGAAGTGTCACGCTTATGACATGCACTCACACGAGTTTTGCTTGATCCAGGAAACCAGACATCGCGGATACCAACTGAGCGAGCCTGTGTAACAAATCTAGGCTGGCGATGGCTGCCCACACTTTTCCAACTGTAGACGCCACACACCCCGCAAGCGCACCCAACCCCAAGCAACCAAGCCAAGCCAAGCCAAGAAACATGCACGCACGCAAGGAGCAAACAAGCAAGCCAGCGAGCGAGCAAGCCAGCGAGCCAGCGAGCCAGCGAGCCAGCGAGCGCGAAAGCAAGCAAGCAGGCAGGCAGGCAACAAGCAGACAACAAGCAGACAGCAAGAAGCAACAAGCAGGCCACAAGCAGGCAACAAGCAGGCAACAAGCAGGCAACAAGCAGGCAACAAGCAGGCCACAAGCAGGCAGAAAGCAGGCAACAAGCAGGCCAAAAGCATGCAAGAAGCAGGCAACAAGCAGACGACAAGCAGGCAAGATGCAGGCAACAACGCAAGCAGCGGGGAAGAAGCAGGCAACAAGCAGGCACCAAGCAGACAAGAAGCAGGGAACGGCAGGCAACAAGCAGGCAAGAAGCATGCAAGAAGCAGGCAACAAGCAGGCAACAAGCAGGCGAGAAGCAAGCAAAAAGCAGGCAAAAGCAAGCAACAAGCAGGAGCAGGCGACAAGCAAGCGACAAGCAGGCAAGATGCAGACAAGAAGTAGGCAACAAGCAGGCAACAAGCAGGCAACAAGCAGGCAACAATTGCGGACACGCAGCACACCGGCACCGCGCTGGGACGAAAGGCAAAGGCCAGCGCAGGCGCCGCAACAAACACACGAAAATGCCAACTCCGGGCAAACGGGGGGAAAGACCTGGGCTGAGCACGGTCCGGACTGGGACAGCAGCATGGCTGCAGAGGCTGCATCCATGCTGTGGGCAGCCGCGCTTTGCAAGTCAACCGACGCGGCTTTCTAACTTGCCTTCCGCCATGGTGGACTGGGGCTGCGTTCAGCCCGATTGCATGCACCTGCAGCGTCTTGGGCTTCGTGGGCTGGAAGCTTGTCGGCGATTCACCGCAGAGATTCCGACCTTGCGCAACATATTGTATGCCAACTAGAGCCGGAGGCGCCTTGTTGCCGTGTCCCGGACGCTAAAGGCAGCCGTGACCTGTTCGGCAGGGGTTTGACCAGCTTTTTGGCGACGCTGTGCCAGCCACCTCATGTTGAGGACGATGCCTCTGGAAAAAGATCGGTGAGTTCTGGGGGCATGATACGAAGTGCATAGTTGGACCGTGGCAACGCGCAGTACAGCAACAGCAGCCAGGCGACCTGCAGGTCAGGAAGCGGCGGGAGGACCTGGAGGAGGCGAAGTTGTTTGTTGCGGCGCTTGAGCTGGGCCCGCACGAATGCATTTCCGCCCCAAGGGGCTCCTGGAACGGGAATCCCTTGCTCTGCCGCCGGGAGCTGAGCATTGCCACGCCACACATCTGCTTGCACTTATGTCCGCCAGGCCTGGCGGCTCCACTGCAGCTGCGTTCCACACGTGTTTTTTTGTTTTTTCCCCGCGCCTTTTTCCGTCTGCTCCTGCAAGCCACTTATATACCGGCGGCCCCCGGATGTGCTTTGGGGCATTAAGGGGGCAGCCATTTGTATACCGGCGGCTCGCAAAGAGCGGGCCTACCCAGAGCTCGCGCGGGCGCACAGATGCCGGTTGGTCGTGCTTGCAGTCGAGGTTGGCGGGCGGTGGAGTGATGAGGCCGCCTCCTTCATCCGGTCCTTGGCCCGCGCCCGGGCACTTGAAGCGCCAGCTCGGCTGCGCCCCAGTGTTGTCAGGCTGCATCCCGATGCCCCCTCAGTTACGCACAAAAAAAACAAACAAACACGGCAGGCGCCGATCCTGCTGCCCAAGCGCTTTTGCACTCCCAGTCCGGGCCTTTCGCTAGCCGTTTCCTCACTACAGTGCCAGTCTCATCAGTTTTGTCCTATCCCTGCCATCTCTTCCGTGTTCTCCTCCTGCGCCGCCTGCGCCTCCCCTTGCCTCTTGCTGAGCGCGCCTGCCGGTGCCGTCGCCTTCTGGACCCCTTCGGCGACCATTGTGCAGCCTGCGCCCGGTCAGGTGTGCTCCGGGGGCGCGGGTGTCCGCTGGAGCGTGCGGCCGCACGCGTTTGCAGAGAAGCTGGAGCCTTATTCAGCTTCAACACACGCCTTGCGGACTTGAACCTTCAAGTTGACCGGGTCGACGATAGGCGGCTGGAGGTCGTGGCCAATGGCCTCCCACTGTGGGGGGGCCAGCAACTTGCAGTGGACACAACCCTTGTCTCGCCCTTGTCAGGCCAGGGCCAGCCCGTTCGGCGCGGGGGTCGAGTCGCTGGTGCTGCCCTCGCCGTGGCGCGCCGTCCCGGCTGTGCGGCTCACCGGCCGGGCAAGCGGGATGCGCCCGCCGGTGGCATGTGGGCAAGATCAGCAAGCAAGGTGCCGAGGGGAGGCAGGGTGCCACCCCCGGCATTGCAAAGCTCCGGCCCGGCAGCCTGCCTGAGAAGGGACGAAGCAAAGGCTGTCATGGTTGTATGGGTCAGTTGGGCCGACCACCTGCCATCAGGCTGCGCCGTCAAGTGCAAGTCATCCAAAAAGGCAGCGGAACGCTCCTCCGAAAGGAGCTCCGGCTGCAGGGCGACAAGCGCTTGATGCATGGCGACGACGAACAACAGGCCGCTGGCCTACAGTGTCACGCCACGCATAAGTAGACGGGCATACCACATGCGGACGTAAGGGAGCAACCGGCACGCACCCCATCACGGAGTGCCGCAAGCATGGCCTGCCTACGCACGTGGTCATAGGCTCCTACCAAGACCGTTGGTCGGAGAAGTATTTGTAAGGACTTGCAAAGTGTGGACTAAGGCTTTGGGTCGACAACGCATACTGGTACGGGCGACAAGCCACATCAAATTGATCTGCAAATTGCTGCGCCAAGGTTCGGGACACAAGCCGCCGCAAGAAGTCACCAGCTGCTAATCCCCGCACGCCACCGGACGGTTTTTGGACAGCCCGATCCCAAGCCAGCCGCCTGGCAAGTCTCTCCAGGGCGCGTGGGAGCACTCGTCTTCAGCACTACTCGCATAATCCACTGGGACCTGGCACTGCTCCGGCGGAGATGGGCAAAGAACCGGTCAGGCAGGAGCTCGGCAGGGCTGCCCGGGCTCCAGGCCAACAGATCGGGTGCGATGAGCTGATAGGTTTGGCTGGGCCGGCTCCTAGGATCGGTAAGTTGCTGCATCAGCTGGCGCAAGTGGCTCAGACAGCAGTAACCAGGCGGGGGGTCCTCTGGTCCAGTTGCGCGGTTATCAAACGACAAACCCCAGCGGTGGCGCACTCGAGCGAGCCCGCACGGCGGACTGGCACGCCCGCGGTGGGAGCAGACGGCAGCGGCAGGCGCAGGCGACTGTAGGCTCGAGCTGCCACAGATATGTTTCCGGCACGCACTTGATCCCCATCGTCGCGCGCTTGGTTCGCAGGGCAAAAACATAGTACACAAGCAGTATGCGAAGCGCGCTGCTTTTGCGCAGCTTCGGTCCGAACATCCGCATCGGAACACGTCCTGGCCGGCGGCCCGGGAGGCTCCCAAGCCACGCTCTCGACGTGCGGGGACACAGCGCGAGGTTCACAAACATGCCGCCTGCCCCGCGAGCATTCTCGCCAGAGCGTTTCACAAAGCGAAATGCGATCGGAACCCGACCCCCGTCCGCAACGGGAGCTGCGCACCGGGTGCTGGATGCAAATGTGCAGACGTCCTACGTACCCACCCAAGCACGCTGCACCCCACTACCCACGCGCCTACGCTCTTCCTAACGCACCTACGGCTTCCACGAACCCACGCGTGTGCCCGCACGGCTTCCGCCCTCGCGCAGCAAACTCCGACGCAAAGGCTAAAAATCCAGCAGCGCAGAAATCAAAATTCTGCGTTTCAAAAAAACAAACGCTTTTTTTTCCCTTCGCACCTTTTTCCATGCAGCGAGGGTGAGACATTTTGTTTTTCGTGCAAGCAGGGTGAAGCGCTTTCGGCGACAAGGGCGGAGGAGCCTTCCCCGCCGTCGTGCCGCCACGGCCCGGGGCCCATCAGCCGGCCCGCAGCGGCAGCCGGCTGGCTTCCTCAGCCTCGCCGAGGCGTGCGGCCGCCAGCACCTCGGGCCAGGGCGGCGCGGTGCCATCCAAGGCGTCCAGGCCCGCTCCTGGCAGGCCAGCCAGAGTGGCAGCCAGCGCCCTCTGCGCCGCAACGGCAATAATGCCGGACCAGCGCTGGTGGAAGGCCTGCACAGCCGAGGCCCGCCCAACGCACCCAGGGATATTTTTTTTTTCCGTCAAGCCGCGGTGAAACAGGGTGAAACACGCGACCGGTCCCTACGCGCCCGGCGCCCAACGGGCGTCGGACAGGACATCGCCCTCCCTGGCGTACGCGTCGCCAACGTCGGTGGGGAGTTGGCAGAGGCTCGCAGCGAACGCTCCCTGCGCTGCGACTGCGAGCATCTGCCCCCACCGGCGCCTGTGCGCGGCTGCGACCGCCGTGCGCTGCGCCGCGGGGCTGGCGAGAGCTCGGCCCTGCGCGATGCGGTGGAGGAAGGCCTCAGTCTCCTCGCCCCACCTCCCTCCAACTTCGAGGGCCAGCACCGTCAGGCGACACCGCCGGGCTCGCTGAAACTCCGGGTAGGTTACCCGATGCTTGCGCTCGGCAGCGGTTCGCAAGGCGAGGCCGGGCTCGTGGTCGGCGCGAGATCGGCTGCTCCCGTCTCGCCGCAGCGGGCTGACGAGCGTCACATCAACCGCTACCTGCACGCCTCCAAAGGCCGGGAGTCCATGCGCGACGACCTCGAGCCGGCGCCCGTCGGTCAGTGGCAGCCCGAGGTTCAAGTCGCGGAGGAAGACGTTGGTCGCGACCCGAGCTCCCGCCTCCCGGCA